CGGCGGCCACGGCGGATACGGCAAACACTAAAATACTGTAGTGATAAAATACTCGATATTAACATATAAGATTTCTACATCCATTTCGTCACGTCACTGAGAAATGGTTAGCGGCAGATATATTACAACTGGTTGTGTAAATATTATTTGAACTTAATAAATACAATTTATGCATGAATTAAATAGTACAAACTTATTTTAATTGTTTCTTACGAGAAATGGTTCGGTGTAACCAACGCTTTTAGTAATAACTATTAACATTGAAAAGGAAATAGACTATGTAGTCTATGTAGGTCATGGGGGATTAAACATTAGATGCGTACTGTACTGACCGACGTTACGTGGTGTAACGCATTTCACGGCGAGCATTCATGCAGTCAATATGTAGTCCATACTTGAAGGAACCAGAGAGTAACAAGTAGCTCCAGGCGAATGTGTATGGACTCTTCAGTTTGCAGGCAGTCTTAAGCTATGTTAATAATGACATCGCTCAATAGTTTTTAATGGATTGCGTCAGGCACATATACTTAATAGTTTTAACTATGCAATAATTATTATATTACAGAGCCATATTGATATTACAAAGAGAAAAGATTTGTATTTTTATATGCAACGTAAAAATTCAAACACTACTGGACATTAGACAGCTATATCATTTCTGAATACCATGATCTATGTTTATGCCTTTCTTAGACTATATTTTAGTATTTTTTCATAATTCTATTAGGACGAATTCGCGGGCAGAAGCTAGTAATAGATGAAAACAATAATTTAACGTAAAGATAAAAGGGGAAAGGTCGCGATGCCGATAGATAACTTCCTATATAAAAGGTGTATAGCAACGAATACTGTCATAAAATATATACAATTCAGTTCATTTGTACTTTGCAAATATGGCTTTCAAAGTGAGTATTAATATAATAAGTTAATAATTAAATTATGTAGTTCTTTATATTGTCCTTAGATATAACGCATTTCTTTTTATATCAACGGTTTTTTGTCAATTTCTTGCAACCGTTTCAATTAAACTATAAGCTTGTGTTGAAATATGGTTTACAACAATAGTCGAATGGCGGGATTCCAACCTTCGACCACGCGATTGATTAGGTTACTGGTGATTTTGAAATACTGCCGTAGATTGAATTACACTTCATTTATTTTTATATGAATATCTGTAAATCATTGGGGTAACACGATTGGATAAGATACGAAATGACTATATTAGAGGAAGTTTGAGAGTAGATCCAGTGGTTGAGAAAATAAAGAGTAAAAGGTTAGCGTGGTATGGGCATGTTACGAGAAGGGATGAATCGCATGTTATAAAAAGGACGTTAGTTATGAATGTGGGGGGGTACACCGGTAGAGGTAGACTTGGAAAGAGATGTATGGATTGTGTCAAAGGTGACATGATCAAGAAGGGAGTGATGACGGAGATGACGGATGATAGAGTTATTTGGAGGACGAAAACCCGATGCACCGACCCTACGGGAGTAGGATAAGGCAGGGGAGATGATGATCAGCTGTAAATCATAGATATTAAAAAGATAGACGAAAAAATGCTTACTAACAAATAGTAAACACAGGTGCGGATCTTATCACCCATTTACATATTTTAAAATTGAATGCAATTTAATTACGATTAAAATGCAAATTAGTTACGTACTTGGTATTTCTGACGATTTAAGCAGAACTTTAAACAACAATAGACACTAGATATGTATTTTATATTCGTTTTATCATATCCGACAATATCCATAGACAACATAACTATCTATCTATAGTCAACTATCTAGTTTCATACAAGTTTATTGTCTAACCGTAAGTCGAATTTCTATATTTTTTAGTGTGGGTAACGCTCACCAGTGTTATAGAAGATTCAGAATAATTCAGTGAATAAAAAAAAATACCAAAAAATTAATTAAAAATACGCTTAACGATTTTAACAAAAACAATATTGTGTTTTTGCTGCAGAATATTTAGTTGTATTTCTGAAAACTTCTGGACTAAAATATATTTTAAACTTTGGTAAGAATTAAAAAATAAAAAGGAAATTAGCTAGCTTTACATTTTCTTTATAAGTAAAGATTATTATGTTACTAGCTTCTGCTCGCGACTCCGTCCACGTGGAATAAAAAAAAAAAAACAAATCAAGTAGCTTATGTGTTCTTCCAGACTTTCCTCTATATCTGTGCCAAATTTCATCGAGATCCGTTTAGCAGTTTGGGCTACAAACTCTAACAAACATCCATCATCCATCTAAACTTTCACGTTTATAATAATAGTAAGATTGATAATACAGAGTTAATCGGGATATTCATTAGAAAATTTATGAAGCATTTTTTTCGTCTCACTTTTGCGCTCCAGACATACATCTGTATGTTGATTAATGGTCGGTTTCCCAGATACGTTTAGCCATTCTTTAATGGTTTTTCCTTCGATAACTTCGTGAAATGCGTAACTTGAGTTTTACTCCTTTTAAAACTTAAGTGAATTTAACATTAATGGATGAATAACAACTTCAGAAACCAGCATAAATAATTTTTACATTGTATAGTAAATATATCTTTGTTGTTTTTTACAGATTGTCTGCTTATTAGCCATGGTTGTTCTCATAAACGGTGAGTGTATTTTTACGCACATTTATTGTCTCTGTAATCACGTATTTTTATATAGGTTTTTATAAATATCTGATACACACCTTCGCATAACGTTAGTCTTCTACCATTCAAATATTTTAGTTGTAAATACTAAAAAAGTCCTAGCACTATTAGACGTTAATAATTAACACGCGAAATACTCGCTATCCGTGAAGTTGCGGAAAAGCAAGCTCCTACAACTAATAACTAATTAGTGAATACGAATAATTGTTATGTGATTAGATAGTGTGTTCGTATAGTCGTAATTGAGTGCGTTGCATGATTTTAATATTATTTAAGTACTAACGTCCAAATTAATCGAACTTCAACTACATTATAGTCTCATCATCATCACCAGCTCACTCTCTCTGAGGGGCTCGGAGCCTACCCTAATAAGGGGTGACTAGGCCATAGTTAAACCACGCTAGCCCACTGCTTCTTTAAATTTCTCTGCCGATATGTGTAGGTTCTCTCAGGATGTTTTCCTTAACATAAAAACGTCGAGTAAATTATTTCGAAAAATCTAAAATCACGTTAGTACAGCGGGATTCGAACCCAGAACCAGTAGATTACAAGTCAAGTGCTCAAACCCCTGAGCCACCGACGCTCTAATAAAGGCGCGCTAAATTCAAAATGTTTTGAAATTATTTCATAAAATAATTTTTGTCTAGACCGGAAAATGTTTTTTTTTTCAATTTATTTGATACGAAATGGAAGCGACTTTTATCATCATCTCAGCTATGAACTGTTTTATCATCTGATAACCTATTTTATGATGTAAATATATTATAACAAAACAATGACTCAATACTTGAGTACTATCTTAGTGCACAACTAGTCAACAAGTTACTGTGGTTACTATCGACCATGCCAGTGTTTCTTTCAAGTTAGGTGCTATCTTAACTTTATTGTACAACCACCTTTCACGACTCCAGTGTAGCGTATGTGTTCTTCCAGACTATCTTCTACATCTATGCCACATTTCATCGAGATCCGTTTAGCTGTTTAGGCTACAAACTCTAACAAACATCCATCCATCCATCCATCTAAACTTTCGTATTTTTAATATTAGTATGATAGATTTAGTACTGCTTGTTTTTTACACCAATTTGTTCAATTACTGTATCAAAATTGAAGTTAAGATTTTTTTTCTAATTCATTTCAGTCATGTAATTTGCCATTTGTTGTGATGTTTGTTTGTTTTTTAATACGAACATTAAATATGTTTTAAGGTTCCCCATACCGTTACGGGGAAGATCAAGGTAACTACGGCGGTGGTCATGGCGGACACGGAGGTAGCTTTGGTCCCGGCGGCCAAGGCGGCTTTGGATCAGGTGGTCAAAGTGGTCATGGCAGCTTTGGTCCTGGTCAAGGCGATCAACAGGGCTTCGGTACTGGTCAAGGAGGTTTTGGACCTAACAACCAGGAAGGGTTTGGACACGGCGGTCAAGGGGGTTTTGGCGGTCAAGGTGGTCGAGGACATGGCGGTCCAGGGAACTTCGGAGGCCACCGCGGTGGTTACCAGGAGCACGGATATTAATTTTTTAGTAAAAAATAATTTCGTATAACCATTACGTATTGCCATTGTATAATTATAGTTTAATTATACTTTTAAATAAAAAAAAAAATATTCTGACTAAATGTCTTTTATTTCTAACTTCTCTAGCAAGTCCGTCCACGTGGAATAATAAAAAAATTCTTCCAAACTTCTATGTCTATGTCAAATTTCATAGAGATTTTTCAGCAGCTTAAGCCACAAACTCTAACATTCACCCGTCCATCTAAACTTTCTGATTTATAATATAAGCAGTTAATTTTACATAACATAAACTTATAGTTTTATGAAATAACATCTAATGTGGACCATAGCTAACGTAACCTAACGTTAGGTTCTAAACTTGTACAATCCTGGTCAAAGGTAGCAAATTACAAACGATATTAATGCCATCAAACGCCTCACTGGTTCAGTTATGAAATTATTTATTAAACTGCAAATCGCATATAAATTATTCATTTAGTATTTAGCAAATGAATTGGGACAGTACATTCACGGTTCATTGCTATAATATTACATGTGCGTAACAACACAAGTGAGCGCATGCAACTACATTATGCACATTAATTGTCTTAGATAACTGGAACTAAGTCATTTATCCACTCGACTGTACTGTTCCTCTGCCGTAATGCTTTCGTTGTTTGTTTATTTAAACAGTTAATAAACAACCTAACAAGTAAACAGATACAGTATCTCAAATACTGTCAATTTTAAAATTAGTTTCAAAGACATGTATACAATTTAAAGTGTTGATATCTCTGACTCTAACGGTGCCAATGCTAACAAACATAGTTGTTTGATAAATATATCAGAGAAAAAAAAGGAAATGCTTATCGTCCTAGCTGTATATCGATTATCAATACCTAAAACCATAAGCTTTACTTCTATAAAGTCTAAGGGCCTGTCTCACCACTGGCTGATAGAGGCTCAGATAGCTTATGACGTCACTGTTAGATAAGGTAACAATATCCGATATTTCTAGCACATTTTACATGTTGGATTGTTTTTAGACAATTTTAATTTGGTGCGACAGGCCCTTAGTAAATAAAGGTGTGACTTGTCTGATAACATGTATCTAGGATAAGAAAGAGGAGCTGACGCAATATTTTTTAGAGTTACCATTAAATTAATGAATTTAAAAAGTAAGTAATGAGATTAAATGACGATGACTACGAAGGTTTGTGTGAGATTGTGTGAAAAAGGATTAGTGTAAGAATGTAATTTGATGGCATGACAGAATGGAAGAGTTCACAATATGCCGACTCTTGGTAAGGAAGGGATATCGTGATAAACATTAGAGGAATCTGCAGCAGTAAACAAAAAAGAGTACAACGAACATAACAATAACAAAAAGAAAATCGAACGGTTTTGTACCATATTTATGTCCTACCAAATGTCATTTAATAAAGTTTTCCACGTGTAGGCATAAAAGAGTCGAAACAGGTAAAACAGCATCTTGTTTAAAACTGCCTGTCGCCTGCTTTTAATTGCTAATACAGTTTTCAGCGTGGTATAAAAGCGTAAACAATATTGTAGAAGGCACAAGCAATCAGCCTCACTCGGTGGCGCAACGTGTTACAGCAAATCACAATGTACCGTCTCACGGTAAGAATATCATCAAAATAAATATTTTGTGACAAGATAAATTAATTAATTTTAAAAGCGAAGTAACTAAAATAAAATAAGAACGTTAATCTGTTTTGTCACCAGATCTTCTTTGTCGTCGCTGTGGCGTACGGAGTACTTGGAGATGGTAAGAGAAAAATAATTATAGTTATAACTTCCCAATTCTTCACGCAACCGACAATCTAAACTCGGAGACATCAGACTGATTACCTCAGTCAATGTAGCGGATGATTGTCTGTGTTGCCCTTTATTTATACCAACTAATCAACAGCAATAAGTGGGTACTTTGATGTGCTAATATAGGAAATTTTGTCATTCCTGAATCGACGATCCTTTAAAAAACCAAGTTTGCAATACAACCAATAATAATTAACATTGAAATAAAAGGGCGAACAATGCGTACATCTTAAACATTTCTTTTGAGTTTTTGTATTAACATTTTATACTTTTTCTCTACACAGGCCATGGATTGGGCGGTGGAGCAATAATCGGTGGCGGTCTGGCACCGGCTGGTTTCATCGCCGGTCCCGCCGTAGTGGCGGCGCCTGCCGCTGCCGTAGTGGCCGCTCCTGCCACGGCCGTGGTTGGCGGAGCTGGGATTGGCAGCGGCGTGGCTCTGAACAACGCGGCCGCCGCGGGTGCAGCGCAGCTCAGTGCATTGCAGAACGCCCAGGCCGTCCAAGCCGCGCAGATTGCTAACGCCGCAGCTGCCGGCATCCAGGCCGCCCGCGCCGCCGAGGCCGAAGCTCGCGCCCGTCAGGCCAACGCTATCCAGAATGCCCAAGCTTTGGACGCGGCCCGCGTCGCTAGCCTGCAGCGCGCCCAAGCGGCCGCCCTTGAAAGCGCTAGAGCTAACGAAGCAGCCAGAAGAGCTGCGGCCGCGAGTGCCCTGGAGTTAGCCCGCGCTGCGGAGGCGGACCGTGTCGCGAACACAGCACGTGTGCAAGCCATCGCGTACGCTAACACTAGGGCGGTGGAAGCCTCTCGTATCGCCAACGCTGCACGTGCTCAGTCTGCTGCGGTTGCCACGAGCGCGGCACAGGCGCAGGCGGTGGCTGACGCTGTAGCTAGGAATGCTCAGGACGGCGTGGTCCTGGGCGGAGGCGGCGGTGCGGCTGTGGTAGGTGTAGCACCGGCCGCCGCCGGTATCGTGGTGGAGTCTGCAGGGCTGGGCGGCTACGCCAGCGGTTGGGGTCACGGCAGTGCCGGCTGGGGTCACGGCGGCGCCGGCTGGGGCCACGGTGGGGCACTGCTGGTGGGCAAGCACTAGATGGACGTAGGTCCGTACTTAATGATAGAAAAAGCATAAGATTTCTACATCCATTTCTTCGCTTCTTGTAGAAATGGTTAGCGGACAAAATAAGACTGGTTTGTAAATATTTTTTATCTTTTAAATACATTAATAAAGACAACTTTTGTTTTTAATTTTGAAGAAATTGAGAAATTTGCAAAGTTATATATAAATTTATATTCAGGTCCCTGTTATCTAAGGAAATAAGATTCTTCCCCGATCCTAATATAATTAAGTCAAGATATCTATAGGAAATAAAGGAATGCCTATATACGAGTACCTACCTACACAAATTACTTGGCAAAAGGGGAATAGACAGCGTGGGAATAATATTAGAGAGTTCTAACCTTCGAGCAAATGTTATTGTTATTGTTGTTCGAAGGTTCCAACTTAGTAAAGAAAAGATGTATTGAATTGCAAGCAATGTATTCATTAATTAAGCGGTACATAAATTCATAAAAAATTCGCGTCCATTGTGAAATTGCCGAAGTCACTTGTAATACTCGTATTTAATTCTTTTGTTCGTTATGGCCCATCATGGCCGGCTGGGGTTTGTTGTCTAGTGGCTTTGGTGGAGCAGATACTTTGGGAAGGTCATGGGGTTTGGGCATCTCGGAGTCGGGCATCTTCTGATGCTTCGCGCCCTCCTCGTGGCCTTGCTCGTGCCCATCGTTGGGCATCGCGGCAGCCAGCACAAAGAGGCACATTACAATCTACAAAGAAAAATAATCTAAAACTATTTTTCGTAATATCACTTTAAAAAAAGAGGGATAAACTGTAGACCACTAAAACTAAGTATAGTTTCTTAAACATGTAATAAAAATAAATAATAAATACATGAGATATTGAACAAAGAAAAAATAATTTAAAAAGTTTGACTTACAACAATACGAGACATGGTGGTACGAGTGTCCTGTGTTCTTATTAATTATAACATCCTGCTACTCCTTTTATATAGCGACCTGTCATTGTGGCATTGTCACATTAATTGCTGCATTGCTAATTACCGAAGATGGACACATCAATAAAACAATCGTAATAATTGGTAGGGTGTGTGAAAAAGCCATTGCAAGTTTCACAATCAATTTAGTTTTAATTTGTCTATTGTGATGAAGTTCTGTAGAAAATTTTTCTACTTAGTAAGTATAGTTAGTTAGGTTTGTTTTTTGTCACGAATCGGTGTGGATTTAGGTTTTTTATTGTAATAGACTTCTAGGCGCACAAATGTGATTTTCGTATGATAATATAAAAAATAGTGATTTTTACTTTTTTATATTATTTTTTTTTATATTTAAATAACTCACTACAATTAAAATATAATTTGTAAGGTTAATTTAAACGTATTTATACATGTCAAAATAAAGCGCCTATCAAAAAATAATACGAGCAAAATAGAAGTGATTAATAAATTGTACTTATTACTAAAATACTTTTAATATGAAAGGATATTTATAAATAAAACGCACTTTAAATGATGATATGATTATTTTTAGCTACAATACATACTGGATATTATGATATTTTGTATTTATTAAGATTATATTTTATAACTGTGACTCCTTGAATTATTTGCCTCCGCGCAGGTACGGGGAGTCATCTGAAATCAAAACATCTGGTTTAGATAACATTTTGAATAGTTTAATTTTGAAATTATAAAGTGTTCTGTCTCGCTTGGATTCCAGCTTATATGTAAGTGCGCACACTACTTGATTTTTAGTTGTGCAACTAAGCAGTTGAATTGGATGCGGAACATTAGACAATCGCACAACAGTTGCACGATAGTTTAGTTAATGGTTGGCGCCCGCTCAAATTGTTATCATAAATTACAATTAATCAATTTATTTGAGTATAATACTTATGTATAATACTCTTAAGTATAATACTTTTCTATTTTCACATTATGTAATGTAACATTTATTGATTACTTACATTTCTTGTATGGATATGGTGGTATTTGGACCGAATCGTCCACTAAAGCGGGCCCGATATCTGCAAGATAATACAATTTATAATACTACTAGTGATGTCGCCTGTGATTCCATTCGCGCAGTATTGTGAAAAATCTTTATAACGAAACTAATTAGTAGGAAAGAACTCACCGATTTCTTCATATTCAGCTGGTGCAGCTGTAACATAAGATACTAAAGATAATCAATCTGAATGTTTTTTACTTATTACATTATCATATTTTATAGACAACAAATTTAAAGTACAGACGGTTACTACAGTTACTATAATTATTTAAAAAACAAAAACCTAAGCCTTCTTTTATCTTGCCAAGACCCACTTTGGATCGCTGCGCCATAGCAGTAAGTAAGTAAGTAAGCCTTCCTACACCTATGCATATGACTCCGCAGGCCCGTTACACTGTGCACCGTGTGACCAAACCTTAAAAACTAAGTTGGGATTTGCAAGCTATCTTCGGTCACACTCTCGGAAATAGCATGGTTCGCCTGACGGATACGTCACTGAGGACATCATCATAATTACATATATAATACCAACTTTAATTAAAAATTACTATGTATGTATACTTTCAGACTATCCTCTACGTCTATATCATACTGCATCGAGATCCCTTCAGCCGTTTAGGCTACGAACTCTAATAAACATTCATCTATCCCCCATCCATCCATCTAAACTTTCGCATTTATAATATTATTAAGATAGTTCATAAAAATATTACTACAACTTACAAGTTGCTGCCTTATAGAAGTATTCATCGACTATAATTGAAAGAAAAATACAATGCTTGTACTATACTTAAAGTTATAGTTGTGGTACGGTAAAGGTAGAAATAATAATTATGTAACTACTAGACTACAGACTATAAACTTTACATCTGTATCAAATTTCATCGAAATCCGATCAGCTGTTAAGGCTACAATCTCTAACAAACATCCATCCATCTAGTCTTTCGCATTTATAATATTAGTAAGTAAATCTGTGTATTTGTTTACTGCGCACGACTTAAATCAGTGCTGTTATTATCGTAAAAGTACTTACAGTTGTCAGGATTATCGTTGATGACATGATCTGTAAGAAGATGCGATTGTTATAACATATGCAAACATATTTTATCTATTGATTTTCAGACTATCTTTAGTTCAGAAAAACAATCGTAACTCAACGATGACGTCAAAGAAATTTTTTGTAGATATCAAAATTCAGATGTTGAAACATTAATTGTAAAACAATGAATTTTCCTACAATACGAAATAACATCTGTAATAGCAGTATTTTATATGTTCGAGATAAAGCAGTCGAATCTAGCTAGGTGTAAAATTCAAGGCGTAAAAAGCATAGGACAGACATAAGTACAGTCACATTCAAACTTACCTAGGAAAGGGTTGTGGTCCACAATGTGAACTGCAATACAGAAGAAAGAACAAGAATAACTTAACACGAGACAGAAAATGAAAAACACTTCAACGACATTGAAATAAACAGAAATTCAGGCAGAGTACAAGTTCATAAATCGAAACTTTAATCAGAATAGAAATAGATCCCAGAATCGTTAAATATAACGTTTTTGACTATTTCCACCTTGGTTACTCTTTCTCTCTGCATCGTTTCTTCATTCCTGAAGATTACTATTAATAGCGAAATTAAATCCAAGTGGAAATAAGCACTTTAAATCACTACTAGTTAAGAACTCTTTCCTATAGATTATGCTCGTAAAGATTTTCTACACATTTTTATAAAGTAACATTTTAAGAAGTGAAAGACTACACCTTAATGAATAGGAAAACAGAAGCTCAATTTTGTTTTGTCTTGCACATATTTTTGCACTAATTATGATTGAGTTATTACGAATTTAATTATAACTAACTACTTAGTAATGATCTTCAAAGCAAAAGTAGCATACCTCCTTGACAGCTAACCATAGCTAGTACGGCTAGCAGAACAATCTGGAACAACGCGAGCTTCATGATTTCTCTGTTTTGACACTCTGTTATTGTGTATTAGCTACTAACTGACTGATATTGATGTTGAGCTGTACACGTTATCTATCTGATGATAACGATATCTGAATTTCATATGAAAATTGTTGCTCATACATATCGATTTGATTATACGGATTTAAACATAATCGGATGTATTAGTAAAATGTGTGAACTTTTAAATCTAAAAAAAATAAAATTGTTTTTGTTTCTTGTCCAATAGATGGCGCTCTAAAAATCGTTTTTGAGAAAAATAGTTTTGGGCTATTAATCTTAACCTTTTCAGTTCTATTCTTCGGTTTTGTAAAGATAACTTAATTGTGATTTTAGGTAAATAAAACGATGAAAAATAAGTAAACGGTATTAATTATTTATTACAAAGTAACGGAGTATTGCAACTTGTGAATTATTAAACATTGTAAAAAAATATTTAATTATTTGAATTTCTTAATTAGGAAATAAGCTTGGCGTAGTTGTCATCTACTTTCCACCGCGGAGGTTGGGGTTGTCGTCTGGAAACAGAGAGTATTATAAATATTATTACACAAACAAAGTTTATTGTACAAACATATATGAGTAATCTTTAGTCTTTAGGAAACGTGAATGCTCACAACTGAACTTTTGTCTCCAAAGAGATAAAGTTTTCAATATAATCAGCGCTAGATGCCTTATCTGTTAGACGTTCTAAGCGGTTTCACCATCGCCCAGGGCGACTGAGGGGCGCCACGGGTCGAATTATTCTTATGTAACACATTTAACCACCATGCAAGCCATGGTAATAAAAGTGCCCAAGGCTCTTAGTAGATCTTAAGACTAACACTGATCACATCATGTAACAAATTATCAATGGACTTACAGTGTTTGCCAGCGTACGGCCTGTTTCCGAAGTCAACGTATGCCGGGCCAGTGCCTAAAAGACAAAAATAATTATTTTTGTTGACAGGTTTGGGGACGCTTAAATCGCCTTCATTACTTTACTTTCTGAGGGCCTTACTGCGGATAGTTCCATATTTTAAGTAATATAGTAAGATTTTATATTCAGGGTCTTGACCCCCATAACTTGTTATAAGTTACAAAATTGCATAAACTTACTTATTTGTTCATAGCCACCATTGGGAGCTGAAAAATTAAAGAAAAATTTATTATTACCACAATACTAAATGTAATTGTTATAAAAACCAACCTATTCAAATAAATAATTATTATGATCTATTTTCTAATATGTAACAGACATGTATTTCAAATTTTACAAAAATGTAAAATAACTCTGACGATCTATGTTTTTTAACAGACTTAAAGAAAGAGGACTTTCTCAATAAGATTATTATACTTACGGTTGCTTGGCCTGTAGAAACCTTGGTCGACGACAACTGAAAGATTAAACCAAAAATGGTAGTAACTTAAAATTTTAAAGCCTTACAATTAATTATATTATCTACTGAAATATAGTACGAAGCTAAACGACTTGAAGATGCATAAGATTTAATATTAAAAAGCGCCTGTACAGTAGTAAGCGGCAAATCTTTCTCAGAATGATAATAAAAATTACTCGGTAAAAACTTTTTTTTGTAAAAAAGCAAAAGCAATTGCATACTTACAGCCATCGGGGTTGTTGAGTCCATCTGAAAATAGCATAAATTAGAATACTAACTAGCGGAAATCGCCCACCATCGCTAAGCGAAGACTTATTTAGATTTCTATTAGAATAGAATTAAAGGATAGCAATAACAAACATATTTTCAAATTATTTGTTTAGTTCAAGGGATAGACGAACTTTGAGGTTATATGACCGGTAAATTGTCACAAAAAATATTTTTTTTTTAGTCCCTTGTTCGAATTGTGTATTACAATCATGTTTTGTCAAATTTTCTAACATACCTGACGGATTGTGATCCACAAAATTCACTGAAAGCAAATACACAGTTTCATTTTTAACAATTTTAGTCGGATTTTTGTGTGTTTTCATGTGCTATTATTAAAACAATTTATTTAATTTTAGTTACGAACCTTGCGTTGGGTCATGATCTACCACGTGTACTGTAAAAAATATTTAAATATCAGTTTTGCGATTGGATTTTTTGTTTATTTTTTTTAATATAAAAAATGTTAAGTACCTTCACTAGGGTTATGGTCGACAACATGTACTGTAATAAAGATATATATTTTGTTTAGTTTTATGAAATTAGTTTATATCTTGCGTTTTTAACTAGTAGTTACAACTTGTTTTGAAAAAATAATGTAATTTGAATTTAATATAGTTTAATTACCTTCTGAAGGATTGCGATCTACAACGTGTACTGCAATAGAAGGAGAGTTTTTATGCAATTTTTGAAAAGAAAAAAAAAACGAACAAGGTGTAAGTTGAAAATTAAATACCTTCGTAGGGATTACGGTCGACCACGTGGACTGTAAATGAGAAATGTCGGTGTTATAAACTAAGAAGCCTAGTGTAGTTTCAAAAAATGTATTCATTTTGATTTTAAACTTTTTTTTTTTATTTAATTTGTTTTAGAATAGCAGTTAAGTATGTAACGTGTATGTACCTTCTGACGGATTATGATCCACGACATGAACTGTAATAAAAAATTAAAAATGTAGTCAAGTGGAATATAAATGAAATGGGGACTAAGCGGTGTACGAGGTACTAACAGGATTAATTTTTTTTTTAAATTCATTCAATCGAGATTTCATTGTCAATTTCTTAGAATTCGGTATTAAAATAAGTGAAATAAAATTCAAGTAAATTTGAATATATGTTTGTTATATACTGTTATATCTAAAGAAAAAGAAGTGTTAGTAAATTGCATACCTTGGGCAGCGGCAAAGGCAACCAATGCCAATAAAACGATCTGAAAAAAAAAAATCTGTTAAATTGTTATCAGTACTGGCTGAATATTTTACGTGGTTATAAAAAAAGATAAAGAGGTTACAAATAAATTAGTGTTATCATTTTGATAACAATATTTTGTTCCAATCTGGGGTCAGACACGTTGACCTATTAAAAAAACAGCAAAAATAAACTAAAGCCAATTATAGTTGTAGGCTTAATGTGTTTACATAACCTCACTAAAAAGGTCTGTCAACAATCACGGATGTGCTCGTGCTGTCTTTGTTTGAATAACTGATCAAATATCGCGATGTTTTATTACAGAATAATATGGTCATCATAAAATAACCGTTAGTTTCCACTGTATACATACAAGATGTCTTTCCTATCATTTTCATTATAAAAACAGCGAGGAATGTGCTTTTTCAAGATATTTTAGCAATGGAAAGACGCGGCAATATTCATAGAACGCATTGAATAATTACAGGATAATTCAGATCAAGTTTCATCCAATTAACTTTAAAATTGACTTAATTATTAAAATTACATTAGTTTTATCGACACCTAGTGCTTCATTAGTGTTAAGTTGACCTAAGTTTCAACGGAATAAATCTCAAGTTACGTATTTCGGAGACGCTTTTCATGGATTTATGGAATTGAAACCACTAACGAACGGTATAATGTAGCTGGGAAACCAGCCATGAGTGGAGGGTAATTGTTTTTGTGATTACACGCTTTCCATTATAAGGTACTGTAGCTCAAATAGTGGTTTCAAGTGTTAAAAAGTGAAGCTGAAATTTCTAATGAAATGAGGAATTGTGACCTACCAAAAAGCGTGCCCACACCTAAGACTAAACTATCGCACAACTTTTGTGCGCTTTTTTAATTAAAATTAATTTATTATATAAATAGTTTTTAAACTATAAAAAAATTTGTACTTATGTGGATATTAGGTCTCGTTTTATTAAAGACTCCGTCCGCGTGGAATTATAAAAAACAAAAGTGAGTAGCCTATGTGTTCTTACAGACTATCTATACAAAATCTTTATATCTATACCAATTTCATCGAAATCCGTTCAGCCGTTTAGGCTACAAACTCTGACAAACATCCATCCATCCATCCATTTCAATTCCAAACTTTAGCATTTATAATATTAAGGATTTATTTTTCATCTACCTAATATTATTATAATCAGGAAAGATTTGTATTTTTATATTTTGTATATATTGTTATAAGTCAAAAACTACTGGGCTGATTTTAAATATTCTTTAACCATTAGAAAATAAATTTATCTGTAACACATACTATTCTTTATTATGACTAATGTTGATAAACTATTATTATAATAAACAAAATATCCTGGACTTTTCAGTTTTCTCCGCTTACGATGTCTAAACCGTTAGAAGAAAAAAAATAATGTATGTAAGAATTGTAGATCTCAAAAAGTTCTAAGTTATATGTGCAGCATAAAAAACTGAACGAGGGAATGTACAAAAAATTATTAATAAGATGAAATTCGCGGATTAAATTTAATTAAAATTATTTGTTAAATATGAATAACATAAATAGACTGTTTCAAAATAATTAATTGTAATGTTAATTTACGTACCACGGCGGTTTTCATTTTGGATAATTTAAATAAATGCAGTACTGGGATGAAATCCGGTAACAAGTGCCATGTGTGATGTTTTGAACGATGTCTTTTATAAAGCTGCAGCCCGCCCCGCCGCACTCCCCACATCCCGCAACTCAGGGTCAATATTAGGCAAGTAATAAGTAAACGTCTCAAACAAATAATATAATTTTTCCTGTTCAATTTCTGCTAAATAAATCGAATATAATTTCCATGTATTTGGCAATAAGCAATATTTACTTAGGTGACAAAATTACGTCAACTATAATACATAATAAATAATAATTAATTTTTAACTAATAATATAAGCGTTTTTAAAGCATCTAACCATAGGCTTACACTGCCCATATATTACACAAACATTTTTTTATCATTTTTGCATTATTTCTGAAAAAAACTTCTTCTAACATAGTAATCTTCTATCAAACATCCATCTATCTAAACTTTCGTATATATTCTACTAGTAAAATTAAAATAAGTTCACATTGCATGTAATTTAGTAATGTTTTAACAATGGAAACCCTCGGTAATTAAGAATATTAATTGTTTGTATGACTTTCGGAGATATAACTGTAGTAGTATTTGGGATGTATGTTTTATTTTGTCTATGCTTTATGTTTTTTATCTATATTTTTTCTATTTCACCTATGAAATAAATTTTTACTAGTAAATAACTTAAGTATAGATAATTCTAATCACATTTTATGCAATCTATTTGTTAAATTATATGTGAACTGTAACATTGTGTTTTTGTATAAATAAAAAAATAAACATGTAATAAATATCGCCCGACAATCCGATTTTAAGGTCTGTTTACCCCCAATGGTGATGTTTATTTATTTACACACATAAATATATGGATACAAATTCGTCTAGCGGCACCTGGCATCTTATCTAGTTTAATGTCAGGTTCACACTTGGCCACTACAGTTGGACAGTTGAGACAGCAAACGATACATATGGCGCCTGTTACCGTTCACACTCTGCCATTTAATTGACGGTGCAATCCGAGAGCTACCGACCAACTGTACTGGCCAAGTGTAAACCGCGCATAACACTTAGGTCATCTTCTAATTTGTTATCTTAAATATTGAATTAATTAACGAGCAAACGTAAACTTTACAACCTAAACTAAAATTACATAACAACGTAAGTTGTTTTGAAGATGTATGTACGAAGTCATTTAAGATAGCAAAACTTTAAAACAATTGTTAAAACGGATGCTTCCGAGAAATATATTGTTGTATAAACAGGAATATTTTCGTCAATTACAATGAAATGTATAACGTTTTATCGGTTTGTATACTAACAGATAGTTATAGTTAACCTCTTTTATCAATATAAACTTAAATAAACAACTTTGTTCTTTATATTTCCATATTTAGTGAATTAAGATTTTACTGCACGTTGCTTATAGTGATCTATAATTTGTCTGGATACGAAAGCATACTAATGTACAAAGTTCTTAGTTCCGCAATTTTATCATTCCGTATACACGTTTGTACCCTATATAGATAGAAAATCTATCCCAAACAAAATCACTGACGGGATAATTAGCATATTTAGTGTACAATCCAACAATAATATTAAACCTAAAGGCGATAAACGGTTTTATGATGCTAAAATGATTAACGCTTTGCGACTGGTTTTCCAACAGACCAGTTTATTCATGCTCATCTTATCTTTTTGTGCAGTGTGTGCATTTTCAGACAATAAATCTTGCTACGTAGTTTTTTTTTTACGGTAAACAATATATCACATCACAGTCATCATGTTTTTCTAGCTATAGTCTTATTATTATATGCTTAATTCAGCGAATTTAAAATTACTATTTTATGGTTAGTGAAAGACTTCGCTGTTCGACTAAATGATTGAATGATATCAATTAATGTTTATTTTTCTTCCATTCACTTTATCTCCCTTTCTTAAGCGCTACAACGTGAAATATGAGTAGAAGGCAAAAGTTAAAGGGAGAAATATATTTTACTGCGAATTTCCACTGCTATATTACATGAAGAATTAAACAAATTGTCATGCTTCTCAATCTCTTAGAAAAAAATAGATCTTATAATATATTTTGGTACAAATATTTTTGGATTAAATCTACTGTTAAAACAACAAAGAAATGGAGTACATTCTTCAAAATGCGTAACATAAATTAATAATAAAAGTCTGAATTTTAAAACTATACCGTTTGATAAATTCCTTTGCCTTTTAACATTAAAATGTCAAGAAACAAGAAGTCAATGTCAATGTCATAAATATGACATCACCTTTGTTGACAAACGTTCATGATGTTTTATCCTCGGAATCGGACAAAAACTGTTATTTAGTCCAAGGCAATTACCAATATTATCATTACGGGTGTGATGGTTTTGACGATAGGGTAATCTGAAATATAAATTTTTAAGCCTACTTTGGGCGAAGAAGTGAGGTTATGTTAGGTTAAAAGTGACGGAAATATTGTATTTTAGGGCTGGGGATGTGGGTACCGAACTCTTCAAACATTGTGTTCCTGGTTAAATCAAAACTATAAGAGTATAAATAGAGTACCGTCTATAAAGGAAATTCAAGAAATCCTAGTAGAATTAGAAGATAAACCCAAAAGTTTTTTGGGATCAAGACAATGGATTGGTAGTTTTGAGGTACTCTTTTTGGGTCATTTATAAACTATTATTAATTGTTTATTTGTCTCTGTAGAAATGTACTGATAATTTTGTTCTTAACAAAAGAACAAATTTTAGGTATGCCTAGTTATTGACAAGCTGTATGATGTTCCATGCAAAATTGTTCATGTCAATAAAGGAGATGAGCTGGAGAAGATAACGGAAACTTTGAAGGTTCATTTTACTAGTTTTGGAAGTCCTATTATGATGGGTGGAGATGTGGACTGTTCATCAAAAGGTGTTATGGGAATTACTGTGTCTGAAAGAAGCAGCAGTCTATTAATAGTGGTAATAGATTCATTATTTTATTCTTATTTACAAAACAGTCAAGCAGCTGACCTAGGTAATAAAAGATTTGGTTGATTTGACCAAGGTAGCCAAGATGTGTATGCTGTTTCAAATTAAGACTTTAAAAAAAGTAAAAACCATGTCTCTTATTTTCTGTTCTGTTTCTATTTTGCTGACTTACTTATAAGTATGTTTGTTATAGGATCCACATTATTTTGGGAAAGAACAGTCCAAGGAATACCTGAAGAACAAAGATTGGGTAAAATGGCAGCCATTAAATGACTTTTTGAGTTCATCTTTCTACAATCTTTGTTTGCCACAAGTAAAGTGCTGCAAGTAAATAATAAAAGGATTTTTTTTTATAAAAAAATCAGTCTTTAATTTAAAACATTAAACATACATATAACATAACATAGTTTAGTTTCTAACTTTAAACCAATAAAACAAGATGTAATTAACCAATTTAAAAAATCGGTTTTACAACCATTGAGACAATTATCCTATGAACATATAATATAGAGAAGTTCTCAATCTTGATTTGTGCAAGAAATTGCATAAATATAGAGTTTATTAGTTTTAAAATAATTTTTTCCAGCATCAAATAAAGGCTTACAAATAACATAAATATAAGATTACTTTCCTGCTGTAAAATGTTTCTGTAAACTTTAAAGCGAACATGAGTTAGACCAATAAACCTAGTTTATACCATTTTGTTAACTGATGTTTCATGTTCAAACCATCTAATTGGATCATTACAACAGAGATGGCGAACCACTGGCATGTATACCATAAATGGCACACAACATAATACTTTGTGCATATCGATAATAAAAAAAATGAAGTAGATGTACCAAGGAAAATATGTAATAATCGCAGTCAAAATTATTCTATGACACATATAAGAACACATTAAACATTTCTTTAAAAATGGCACCTTGATGTATAAATGTTTGCCACCTTTCCATTAGTAGCATACTATACACTAGTGAAGGTATATGCTTACATACAATACAATACCAGGGGCAACAGCGAGGCATTACCTGGTGGATGAAATAAATCTTAACTTGGTTATCCTTCCATACTTTTTAGTAAGATTAGATGTGTAATTCAGTCGGTGTTCATGATGAGACAGACGCCTTGCAGCACCCAGTGGCTGATGTGCTCCGCCGTCCACAGGTCAGACTCGAACACGAGGCCCACTCCCATAGCGTTGCGTCGCTGCGACGTTGTGTACACCGGCGTGCGTAGGGTATTCTGATTTTTTAAAATTAAATATACGCAGATTTTAGATAATTTACTAATAATTAATATTCATTTTAACCATTTTAACTAAACTTCAGACTTGTGTTAGTATATGGTTTTTGATAATAGTCGAATTGACGACCATGTAATTGAATACCCATAGACCATAGACCATAACATTAGACAATAGGGTAATAGGGTAATTAGGGTAATTGGGTACTACTGGGGTAGTTTTAAAAAAATCCTTTGAATGTAAGTAATAATATACTTAAATGCAACTTCTGTATAGAAGCGGTTAATAAGAAATACTGCATTACGTGACGGAAACCTAAAATTTTGTTTACAATAGTTTCGAAATAAACAAGGTCATTTCCTTGAATAAGTCAAGGCGGTCAAGTGAACTCATCTTTAATAGAAATAGTACTCGATAGTTCACACACTTAACACTAATTGTTTATTCACTATGCTTAAAATCATAATCTTCACATTTTTATACGCTTAACATAGTGTATTTTAGTCAACTCATTGCATGCTCCTACAAGATTTCAATATAAAAGTGTACTAACTAGGCTAGAGCACTGTGGGCAATTTCTTGGGCCTCCATAGACAGATTTATCGGATGTCTATTTTTTGCTTGTATATACTCTAAGTTAATACATACGTTATAATGTAAAATTGATCTTATATCGATAGTTATGGTTCTATTAGATTGTTTTGTGTGGTAATAACCATTCAAAACATGAGATGAATATGTCTATTAAGGCCCAAAGAATTGTCGATAGTACCACGTGTGGTGTGCTCACCTGCAGCTTGACCTTGTGCGACTCTATGGGTATGATGTGCATGATGGGCAGCTCCGTCACCAGCACCTTGGGGTGCGAGCGTCGTAGGCAACCCTCCTCCAGGTCCCAGCGCGCGCCCTCCAGGTACAGCCCTCGGATGTAGCAACCCTGCACAATATGTTACCAGATATGATCACAGAACGGATGGAAGAAAAGAGTATCTCGTTAAGTTTCACAAAATACAAACGAACAAGGAGGCAAGGGGGGGAGTCGGGGGAAAGTGGCACCGCCTTCTAGGTAATGATGACATAGACTTATAAATTATAGCCGTTGCTCGCGAATTCGCTTGCATGATTTTATACAGAAATATTTAATATAGAGTTTGACTTATTTCGATACATACAAAAATTCTAATCTTTCCTCTTTATAATATCAGTCTAGATATAGATTACGTAATACTAAGATGACTTTAATCCCTATAGATCCACATAGATAACGTAAACCCTAGACCTTATAACCAATGCTTTTGAAATAACGGAAGATAATTTTGAATAGTTAGATCACTAAAAAGTTATTTGAATTGAAAAGAGAATATGTGTGTGTGTGTGTGTGTGTGTGTGTACTGACAGAGTCGGGGCGCTGCTCGATGTCGGGCACGGCGGTGTAGCGCGTGACGCGCGTGTACTGCGTGGAGCGGTCCAGCGGCCACACGCGCGCGCGGCACGCCGTCTGCACGTGCGCGATCAGGTACGACTCCGGCACGTGCAGCCCCGACAGCCACATCACTATCGGCTCCTCCATCGTCGCCTGCCGCAACCAAACAAACAACAACCATCTCAATCTATACTAATGTTATTAACTAGCTTTCGCCCGCGACTCGGTCCGCGTGGAATTTAAAAAAAAAAACAAATGAAGTAACCTATGTATTTTTGCAGAATAGTCTCTAACTACACCAAATTTCATATAAATCCGTTCAACCGTTTAGGTTCATACTCTAACAAACATCCATCCATCCATCTAAATTTTCGCATTTATAAAATTAGTACGATGACAAGGTTCAACCCATCTAGGATAGATATTTTTTCGAGTTTATCGCCTAAAAGATTGAACGGATTTCATTGAAACTTGCTATGAATTAGAGCATAGTCTACAACTACATTAAAGTTTAAATTTAGCATGAACATTAAAAGGACCAAAATATTTCAGAGGGGATACTCGCCCAGTCCGTGTACTGCTTGGTGCGCTCCATGAAGTGGTCCATCCAGCCGCCGAGGCCCTTGCAGGTGGCGGGGGCGAGCGCGCGCCACACGTGCGGCAGCTGCCCGTTGAACAGGCTGGAGGCGACGTTGTCCAGCACCGCGTCCATGCCGATCTCGCCCGCCAGCGCCTTGCGCAGCAGCGACAGCGTGCTCTGCATCTTGTTGATCAGCCGGTTGAACCTGCACACGACCAACCTCACATTCAGCTAAATATACTGCAATAACTTAACACTAAGTTATAGTTTTAAAATATGGATCTAACGAGCAAAAAGTCAGTTATTTAGAGTGCGTCAAATGTCATTTCATCTAAATCATACTAATATTATAAATGTGATAGTTAAGATGGATGGATGGATATTTGTTAGAGTTAGTAGTCCAAACTGCTGAGCGGATCTCAATGCAATTTGGCATTAATGTAGTGCAAAGTCTTGAAGAACATATAGGCTACTTAGTTTTGTTTGTTTAATACCACGCGGACGAAATCGCAGGAGAAAGCTAGTAGTTACTAAATGAAGGGTCTTAACCACAAATATATCAGAAGGTGCTATATGACAATAGACAACCTCTCAAGTTCCTGCAGCAGCACGACGACTGAGGGTGTGATGTTCATCTCGAACTGCTTGCGCACGCGCCACACCTCGTACTGCGGCGGCAGCTTCGCCAGCACGTCCACCGCGATGTTGTCGATGAAGTCTTCGCGACTCATCGCGCCCCCGCCCTCGCCTGCACCACAACCACAGTGTTCACACCATGAGAGGGAGAGAGATGACGAGAGAGAGAGAGAGAGATGCAGTGTTACTGTGACGTCACAAGTTTGGATGCAAAGTAATAAAGTTCTCAAAAATATCATTACCTTCACTTTTTACTTGCAGCATGAAAATGATTTCACAATTAGTGTTTTAGAAGTATGCAATTAAATAGTCAAATTGCAGGTTTATAAAATCCAATACTTACAATCTTGTTTTGTGACTGGCAGCATAACAACACAGATATGTTTATTAATCAACAAAAAACAACACGGACAACAATCTCACATACAATTTACAGAAGTGGCTTGTATAATGCCGTCATATTTTATCGGTGTAGTGTAATCACCAAATCGAGCTATAAAAGTGTTCCAACAATATTGCGAGGGTACGTAAAGAAGGAGGTATACTGACTGGTCTGCGGCTGCAGCTCGATGAGATGCGACCACATGTCGCGCACGGCCTGGCTGAAGTAGCCGATCTCCGCGTTGGGGTGCAGCCCGAACACCTCCGGCGTGTTCGCCAGCGGCAGAGAGTCCACGAAGTCTGGTCAACAACACAGCAGTACAACATCCAGATTATCCCAACAGCACTATAAATGCTGATACGCAACGTTCACACTTGGCCAGTACAGTTGGTCAGTAGCGCTCTATAACTGGACTATCAAACTGCCACAGTTATGGTTCCAGTAAATCCATAAAATCTATAACTGGCCGTCTCAACTATCCGAATGTATTGGCTAAGTGTAAACCGGGCATAATATACACTGAAAATAAACAAATCTTTTAATTTCTTTCAATTATAACCTTCCCGTATTTTCAAAAAACATAGCATTAGATAGAGAGACTGGCGAATAGACAATTGGAAACAATAATCGCAGAGCTACTTCATCACTATTTCCTGTCTTTGTCTAACACATGGACTGACCGATGTACTCTTCGCGCTCGCCATCGGGCGGTATAAAGTAGTCGAAGACGTCGTCGTGGTAGAAGTGGAAGGGCTGGAACTTGTCGAAGAGGAACTCGCCCATGTACTCGTCCATGTAGGTGCCCACCACGCGCCGGTCGAAGTCGTCTATCACACGACCGCCGTACATCACCTAACAAGTGACAAGACATAAGCACTACCGCACCAGAAGAACAACATAAACTACATACAAAAGCCAAAAAAAACTTCCTCATTATAATATTAGTATAGTAGTATAGATTTGTATTAATTACAGAGTAACGCTGAAGTAAGTGGTCAGCATACCTCTCCGAAGAGGTACTTGAGCGTGGCCCAGGGCACGGCGCCGGTGGTGCGCTCGAGGTAGCACTGCAGGATCTGCATACAAACCACGAAGTCCGACTCGCTGAAGTCGTAAGATATATTCCACCCAATCTTGTCGTATTTGCGACGCTCCTAAACAGGTTTTAGTTGCTATAACAACTTCAAGTGGGATAAAATGTAAATCTAAATGTAAGAAAGTACATTACTTGTACGACAGCGTGGAAGAAAGCGAGCACGTAGACGAGCTTCTTGAACTGCGGATGTGTGCACTCCTCCAGCGCGTGCGGACGCATCTTGAAGTACGTGTTGCGAAGATTCAGCTTTAAGCCGTTAGGGGGCTCTGTCACCACTGAGAGTTATCAAAACATTATGTAAGTATAATGTTTTGATCCCATATATTAATATCATAGCAAAATTATCTGTACAATAAAGTTTAGTGAGTATAACCGTTTTTATCGATTTACCTTTGAGTGATCTCTGCAGTATACCGATAGGGAAGGTAGGCGTGGGGTCCGTAGTGAGCCACAGACGGTATTCTGGGTGCGGCTTGGTCAGCAGTTCCAGCTGCTTCTCCAGTTCACGGAGGAATGACACCAGCAGGTGACAGTTCTGCAGGATCAGCCACTGCCCGTGTGATATTGCACCCTCCAGGAGAGCCAAGGCTGCCTGTACGACAGTAAAAATACCTATATATCAGCATATCGATTTATTTATTCAAATACTAGCTTTCGACCGCGATTCCGGCCGCGTGGAATTAAACAAAAATGTGGACTACGAATTCTTCCAGACTATCCCTACGTCTATGCCAAATTTCATCGAGATTCGTTTAGCAGTTTATGCCACAATCTCTAACAAACATCCATTTAAACTTTCGCATTTCTAATATTAGTAAGATAACTCACGCCTTCCTGTCCCTGTCCGAGTGAGAGGTACTTGAACTTGCCGCCGCCGAAGCCGCAGCGGTCGGCCAGCTTCATGAGGTCGGCCGTGGGGTCGGAGCCGGGGCTCAAAATGAACACTACCGGCGTGAACGGCGTCGTCTGCTCGAATATCATATCGAAGCTGGCGGAACAACATTTTTCCATTATTTTAATGTGCAATACGTCATCAACTAGCCCTTATCCCTACGGAGGGTCGGCACAGCATGTGCTGCTCTTCTATACATTTCTATCAGCCGTCATATCTGAATCAACTCTCTAAGCATATCCTCTTTCACACAATCCATCCATACTCTCTTCGGTCTTCCTCTACCTTTATAGCCATCCAATCATTTAATCTTAACATTTTCTGATTTATGTCCCCATCCTTTCGTCGTATAAAATGTACATATACACGTTAATGTGTAAAACGTAAATATACGTAATTTAAACTTTTTTAACGCGACAGAAGAACGCAGAAGTGCCAATGTTCCGTGATAATTTACTTTCCAGCACTTCTTAAAGACATCTGTTGTACAGTGTGAATATTTAGTGGTAAGCAGCACCTGATGACGGGCGGCGTGATGTACTCCTCGCCGAGGGTGGCGGTGATGTAGTCGGTGAGCGCGAGGTAGATGCGGTCGACGCGGAAGCAGCGCAGCAACATCAGCAGTTCGAACGGCTTGAGGCGTTCGCGGTACCCGTTGGGGATCTCGTTCGTCTCCGGCGTGTCGCTGTCGAACCACTGCGGGTAGTCGATGTTTATTACATTTTATTTACAAGAAATGTATTAATAATATTTGATTTTTTTAGAGTTTTATTAATAACTGTTTCTCGCGACTCTGTCTATGTGAAATTCAAAAGTATAGCCTATGTTAATCAGCGATAGCGTAGCTTTTATGGTGAAAAATTTTTTTAAATAGTTTTTTAGTGATTGCAATATATAAAAAAATCAAAAAAATACAACAATACAATATAGTTATTATGGATATACACAATACCGTACCTCTCGCCAATCTTCAAGCTTTGTGCGAATATGTTCCGGCAGCATTGCGAACGCTTCCGAAAAGTCCAAGCTTAGTTTCATTATGTCTTGCCATCCCTACAAAAGTTATTTATGCAAATAAAAAAACTTGGTCTTTTTTCATTTATTGACTAGAAACCTAGACAGCGACCTGTGTAGGTATCCAGGTAGCGGGGCAGGCAGTGGCCGCCTTCTCCAGCGCCACATTGCCCTTGATGAAGAAGTCCAGCTGCGGCTGACTCACGTTGCCCTCGTTCTGCTCCAGTTTTATATTCATTTGGAATGAGTACAGCAGCTTGTGGCGCTCGAATATACCTTCAGATTTATAACATCTCTTAAGACCCTTTGGATAAAAAGTAAAATATATAATAGACAAAATGGCATACATACCAGTGCATCCATAGTCATATACATTTTTGGTGAGCATATCAATAATGTTCTTCAAACGTTTCGCGAGGATCACATTTGGCATGGCTTTTCTAAGCGAAAACGAAAATACCTGAAAGTTTTTTTATTTACATTAACAAACTAGCTGTTACTTGCGGCTTCACCTGCGTAAAGTTAAATAATAATAAAAACTCAGCTTATGTTACTCACTAATTACGTAGATTTTAATGCTGAAAGAATTTTTAAAATCAGCCCAGTAGTTTTTAAGTTATTGCAATACATACGAAAAAAACAAAAAAAAAATTAAATAACTTTTGTATAGATAATAGAATATAATCAAACCATAACCGACGTTATTTTTAAGAGCGTTTCCTATGAAATATTAAACTGCTTGCTTTATAGTAATGTTAAAATTGACTTACATCAAGATAAGAGGAAAGTGAATACTGGTACATAGAGTTGACGACAGCCATGTCTGACAAAACGAAGAAGAGAATAGAGCCGCGTTTCGCCACAGGCCTGTATCCATCTCGAAGTTTCTCAATGTCTTGTGTTGTTATTTCTGCTAGTTGCAATTTCTCCATTACCTAAAAAGCAACGCATCATTGCATCGAAAATAACTTATAAAAAAAAAACTGTCACTCAGAATCGTTTAACTAATCATTTGGTATTCAAATTTACCTCAGCTGCTTTGGCCTTGGTATTCTCCAAGGTGTCGACTAGTTCTACATTATCCAGCATATTGCCTGTGGATGTAGCCAGCTCTCTCAACAGAGAGTCCTCCAGACCTGACAGAAGACTCTTGTTGGCACTCGTCTCCATTATAAGACTTTCACGCTGTTCTTCTAAGTCCGATCTCTCTGCGCGTACTACGACGCTGAGGAGCTGGTCTTCTAAGCCCTAGAATGTAAATTAAAGAACAAAAAAATGCATTACTCAAATAATTCGTATCTAGATTAATGAGTGTTGGAATTTTAACGCTGTTGATAATTGGCAAGATATATGAAGAGAAAAAATTACCCTGGTGACTCTATGCCACCAATACAAAATATGATTTTGTTTAAGACAAACATATAGTTTTGTTGTTTATTTATATATATGTAAGTACCTGCACTGTCACAGTGTAGTTGATGACGACCGCCTTGGCGTAGGCTGCGGGGTTGAACTGCGGGTTGGCGAGCTTCGTGGTCAGGTACAGACGGAAGTTGGGGTCGTAGTCCACCTCCGTGCTGCCCAGCATCACGAACGTACGCCCGCCCTCCACTGACAGAATGACAAACGTGGAAAATAATAATTAATAATAAATTGAACAACCGGGTGTTGAGATATACGGTAACACAAATACATAAAAAGGAAAAAAGACAGACGAATTGAGAACCACCTCCTTTTGGAAGACGGTTAAAACAAATTCCCTATATCATTAAAAAAATACTTTCATTTTACCTTTAATATTTTTCTCCAGAACATTATCGACCACTGGATCTATGTATTCGTTGACATCTTGGAACAACACCGGTATACCGTACTTGATTGCCATCTCCAAATGCCTCACGAATTGTGGGTCGTTAAATGACAGAATCTAAAAAATATCAGAGACGACTGTTGTTCAAGGAGTTTTTACTTGTTTTTAGGTCTCAAGCCATTAGAAAAAAGGAAGAATTTAAATTATTTAAAATTAGAACACATTGTCAATGTCATTGCATTTTCTATGTTTTTTTCTGTACATATTTTACCAATACACATGACTCCGTTAAAAATAAGTTTATTTCTAAATCTTTTTACGAAATACATTTTGATCCTTCGAGCCATATACTATGAATACTGTTAAAATGATCATATTCTTCATTTTTGTCAAATTTTGGTTGCCTTTGTATCTTTACCTTTAAGTTATTTTTAGCTTCTTTTCTTTTGATCCAGGTAAGCGCTTGAGTCTGTGGGTCAATACAGAGTGGGAATCGGGACGCGCGCGTCGTCAGTATGCCGTTCTGTACCGACAGCTCATCAGGAGGCAAACCCTCCGAATTCCAACTATAACAAAAAGTTACATTCTATATTATCGCAACAAAAAAACTATATAAAACAACCTAAAACAATGAAACTAGATCGTACCCACTAATCTCCACTTCATTGGTTAAATTCCGTTCAATAGTGAAGGGCTCCGTGAGAGGAATGCCTCGCTCCTTGACGTCACCGAGCCAATCCTCGTAGATCATCGTTTCTCGGAAGGAGAAAGAGAACGGACCGGAATAACTCAGAAAGGACGCCGCAAGTAGGCAGTTGCCGATCAATCTAGATTGTTCCACGTACAGCGCCGCCAAGTCCTCCGTCCATCGCTTCTGTTCACTGGACAGACCCGACATCAGCTTATCTGCTGCCACCAATCGCCTCATCATTATATCGGTCTCCTCTTGCAACTCCTGTCTTCTCAACATCGCAGTTTCATATCTATTATTCAGACCGTCCAATGTCCTTTGCAGTCGGTCGATCTCTCTGTTCAATGAGGCTAAATAATTCACGGCTTCCGTGTACTCCTTTTCGAGAGCTTCCACTTTGTCCTTCTTCGGTTTAACTTCCTTGTAGACAGCGCAGTAACCCAGCACGGCTATTACAAACTTCAATAGACCATACCTGCACATTGTAAAATTTAGTTCATGTTATTAAAATAGCTGAATAAATATGAAATACGAGGTTATAGTGAAGTTTATAATAAATGCTTACCCAGCTTTACTAATTTGCTGCATAGTGTCGAGTTTCTTGCTCTTTTTCATGTGTGCCTTGACGGCCTTCACCTGCGCCTGAGTGATCAGGTCGCAGTTCATTTCCTGCAGGTTGCGCAAGAAGTTGGGGTCCGCCATCATGCCCTTGGCGCCCTTCCAGCTTACATCCTTGATGCCTCGAATGATCACGACACATTCGCACACAACCTGACCCAGGGGCACAATTCAATTCAATGTTCAAACCCACAAAGTCTACCTAGACTACAAAGATATTTTAGAAATATATAGACAAGACAAAGGGAACAACACTTTTTTACTTTTTATTTATTTGCAAGGAATATGTTAGTTGTCACGTTTATTACGCCATTTTACCAAATTACAATAATTTGCACAGCTATCTATGTAGACACTGTTAATGGGTTACCTGCACAGCCTCTGGCGGGGTGGCGAAGGAGCGGATCTCAGTGATGTCGTTCTTGTCGAGGTCTGCGAGCGCGAGGCGCGCGGCCTCCAGCGCCGGCAGCGCCGCCGACAGCGCCTCCTCCGCCTCCGCCTTCTCCTCCGCGATCACCTCGCTCTGCTGCGAGATCTCCGCGCTCTTCTCCGCCGCCACCTGCTGCTTGCCCACTGCCGCCTCCGTCGCTAGCATACATCAAACTTCCTCATTTCTGTTCTGAGTTCGCTAAAGGCTCCAAAACGGTTAAAGATGAGCAAGACTTACCAGTTGATATCTCCTTGAGCAGTATCTCACACTCGTGCGTCTGCTCTGCGACGATGACTTTCTGCACGGCTAGCTTTGCGTTTAGATCCTCTAGCTGAACGTTGGCTTCCTCTATCTTCAGCAGTCCGCCTTTTAGACGTTCGCACTACAACCAAGAAAGCGTTGTCGTTCAATGCAAGTTTCGAACAAAAATAATAACAGACGCGAAACTGACGAAATAAACATTAAATGTCCTGATACAATCTTATTAATATTGATTGTAGCCTAAACTGCTGAACGGATATCGATTAAATTTGGAATAGATGTAGAGGATAGTCTGAAAAAACACATAGGCTTACACATATCTTTTTGTTAATTCAACGCAATTTTTGTAAATAATAAGAATTGTAAGGTTCATAAGTGGGGTGACCTGTGCGACGATGAAGGCGTCCTTCTCTCCGAGCAGCGCGATGTAGCTGGTGAGGAAGTCCATGTAGTGCTTGGGCGTGACGTAGTTGTTCCTGCGCAGGCGCGCGAGGAACTCCGCCGAGTACACGGCCACGGAGAGGTGCACGTGCACCACGTGCTCCACTATGATGCTGCGGAACTCGTCCGGGATCTTCTGCACCTGTATGTGACATTTGATATTAGCACAAATAAAACTTGTTCGAGAACTTAGCAGTACTCAGTATGTAGAGGTTCAATGCAGAGAAAAGAAAAAGTGCAAGGCACAAAAATTAGAAATGGAACATGGGTAGACCAGTATCCACCAGTAGGCTGTTAAGATTGATATGTATATCAATAAAGTAAGCTAAATCTATAGTAATATTATAAAGAGGAAAGATTTCTATTTTTATATTTATTGAAATAACTCAAAAACTACTAGGCCGATTTCAAAAATGATTTCACGATTTGAAAGTTATGTTTTCACAGAATAACATAGTTTTCGTTGGTACCTTTAATTTCTAAAATTTTTAATGTCCAAAATTTTTTTTTAATAAACAAATTTTATTCAGAACGTACGTCAGCTAGGAAGACATTGGCGACGGCGAGCAGCGCCTGCTTGGGCCAGGGGAACTGCCAGTCGATGGTGGTGTTGTTGACGAGGCCGGGGAAGCTGCGGCAGCGGTTGCGCAGCACGTCACCGCTCGGGGACATCGACAGCAGCACGTGCAGGTTCTGCAGGCACTTGCTGCAGAAGTAGCTCCACACCGCGTCCCTATAAACACAAACAATATAAATGCCTAAAAACGATCTCAATAAAAGGTGAAATGCTAACTGCCGCACTCCGAATTATTAAACACTCGCGACTTTGTCCACGTGAATTTATACAAGACTATAAAATATAGCCTATGTGACTCATAACGTAGCTTATAAATGGTGTAAAATCTTTTGAAATCAGTCCAGTAGTTTTTGGGTTATTTCAATACATAAAAAATGAGTTCAATACATTTTAAACAATATTAATTAAGACAGTGCGTTAACTTTGGTACGTATATTATGTGTAGTTTCGAAAGACATGTGTGTACTGACTTGCCGACGCCATAGCCGGCGTCGTTGCTCTCGTTGCGCAGCGCGTTGATGATGGCGTCCTTCTCGTCGTCGCCGAACAAAGCGGGGATCATGCCGATCATCAGGATGTTGTTGATGAACTCCAGGAACCCCTCTTCCAATATCTATACGAGATTTATGACAATATAATCAAACATGAAAATGTCAAATCATTACAAAAAAGTCTAAATAACAAAAGTAATACCTGTGCCGCTGTGAAGAGGAAGACGGTGGGCTTGCCGTCCACGCCGAGCTGGTTGTAGAGCCGCTTCATGTCGTCTTTGAACGTGTTCTCGTTGTAGCTGCGAGTTATCACGATCTCAAACACTTCGCAACCTGCAATCATTCTCATGTCTTCGTTCTTATCTACTTCTTGTTAATTCTATTTTTTAGGAACCCTAGTATTTTTAGGGTTGACTTTATTACAGTAAAAATAAGATTAACATATTAATAGAAAGATTGAGGTCCTTAGCCCCGCATCTGTTGGCGGTTTTTAACTTCTTATATTGTGTTATAAACCAGCGTTTGACCACGAATGAAGGTAAGAAGGTTTATGGGTAGATTTTTTTATAGATGAATAATTCCTTGCGGCACCATCAGAAACGGGAGTTTCATGCCAGGCTCATTGGCGTTCACCAATCCTAACACATGTTAGTACACATGTACTACAGACTAAACAACTCTCTCTATGGTGCAGGTTTATGGGTAGTTAGTGGTATAGGTACCTGCAGCGAAGGCGGCGAGGCGGCAGATGGACTTCTTGCCGGAGCCGCCGACGCCGACCAGCATGACGTGTCCGCGCTCCATGCGCAGCACGCGGTGCGTGCGCGTCAGGTGCTCCAGGCAGTCCTCGAACAGCACCACCGACATCTTGCCCACGCGCTCGCTGTACTCCTCTAGTATCTACATCACACAACTAGCCTATACCAGCGAGGTTCAACTCTCTTAGCACTTACGACAAAAATATTGACATCTCTCTCACACTTTTTGATTATATAAATGATGGAGTACATATTTAACAATAACATACTTATTTATATAGTTGAAATTCACGGCTTAATACTCAAAAAGTTCTTGCTAAAATGATTCCTGATAAACAAGTGATCAAGAAGATGAGAAAAGTTAAAAACAATATCGCTATCCTAAGGCCACCAGCACCTAAAACATTTTCTCTCTCGCACCCTGTCTTTCTCTCTCACACACACCGTACTCTCTCTATAATCTGTAAGTAGACGTACCTCCTGGAACAAGAAGTAGACAGCCTCGTAGTCGAGCAGGTCCTCGTAGTAGCGGATCTCCTCCTCGTCCAGCGCATTGCGGTAGTCGCCGAACAGCAGCGGGTCCCGCAGCACGTACTCCTCCAGCTAACATACAATTTAGTGACCACAACGATTTCGGCATTCTGATCACAGAAGATACCTTTCGTTTTCCTCTATCTCATGTTGTAGTCATGTAGTAATTAGACACAATTATGAAGTTACCGTTAACATATGCTCTTGCTCTTCCTGTTCATCCTCCATAGCCTCAGTCTCCTCGGGTACCGCATCGGATTTAGCAGGCTTATCTGTCATGAATTCTACAAGAAAAGTTTTTTAAAACATTAAATAAAACGATTGTTTATTTAACGTAAAATGTGATGGAATGCCAAATACATTTTCTCAATGATCCCTTCTATATTTTTAATTTAGAAATAACTTTTAGTGAAAAATATTTATCTCAGCATCCTCTCTAAATGTGAGAACAAAGTTTATTAATTCCAGAAACTCTCGGTGACGACAGTATATCAGTGACGTTACCATCTTCTTCCTCTTCTTCGGGATGCCGTTCTTCCTCTTCGGGCACGACGATCTCCTCTAGCACGACAGGCTCCGCCTCCGGGAAGTACTTCACGATGTGTTCTTGAACATACGACCGCATCAGCTCGTTCTCCTGTTATCGTTATTTAATTTGCAAGACTTTCAATATTAAGATTCATGTTAATTTAGATTGCTGCTATATTCAAACTAGTTAGATGTCAGTGCTTAGTGGTTATGTCTGAAAGGAAATCTCTATTAAGCGCGACTTTTAGAGATTTAATCACTATGAGTAGCGCAGTTATTCATCTGTGGGTACAGTTGGGGAAACTGGCGATGACCTTAAAAGCTACAATCGTTTGAACATTTTGAGACGCGGAACAAAAACCCATACAGTGTAGCTTATTAATGTGTCTATACGAAAAGTCAGTTAGTGATACACGGCTAATTTCTTTTTGTTATTATCTCTTCGTTTGGACTCACTGCTATCTAATTACTTAGTAATTAGGAAGAGGCGGATTTTCTCTCGTTACAATGAACAGGGCAATTTTCCATATATAAAACGCAGCGGATTTCCGCGACTGTACATATCAATGGCATAATGATTGTTGTCAGTATAACGTGACATAAAAGTATATTGCAAAGCCAAGCGCGTAGAGTATCGAAGATATGTATATGTGCTCAGTGGTAGAAAATGGTAGGAGGTGGTAGGAAGGTGTAGGAGACGGTAGGAGGTTGTACGAAGTGGTAGGAGACGGTAGGAAGTGGTAGGAAGTGGTAGGAGACGGTAGGAAGTGGTAGGAAGTAGGTGGTAGGATGTGTTTGAAGACGGTGGGTACCTCTGTGCTGATGAGGCGGTCGCAGATGACGCGTGTGAACTCGTTGCGCCAGCAGCGCAGCACGGTGCGCGGCTCGGAGAAGAGCGGCGGCCGCGTGAGGCAGAGCCCGGCCGCGATACGGGAGAGGTCGCGCAAGTTGAAGATGTAGTGGAACTTGGCCGGCGTCGGCGGCAGCTCCACTATTATTATCTACATATATACTTTGTTATTAAAACTTAATGCTGAATAACACAGAATTAAGTTATTCTAAAAAGCGACAGATTATTCTCATTGAGTAGTTTCATATTTAATACTTGTTTGTTTTAGTTGTCATAAATTTTTCGTTTGGCTTATAACTATACTATAATAAAAAATATCAAAATATAAATAACTAGTTGTTGCTTACGACTTTATACACGTAAAATTTTAGTAGACCCAGTAGTTTTTTTTTTACAAAAAATAGTATAGAAGATATAAAAATAAAGATTTGGAGGCGCCGGGTATCGATCCCGGTACCTCTCGCATGCTAAGCGAGCGCTCTACCATCTGAGCTACGCCCCCTGTGTTAAAAATTACAAATAAACTCCTTTCATTACAGCCTACACAGTACAACCTTCAAGTATCTAAGATTATAAAAGAAAGCTTTTGGCATAATCTTATGAATTGAACTCTTAACATTACCGTTCTGTCAGCAAATATAATTTTAAGTAACCTTGTATAAATCGAGAGTCATTTGCACAATTTTCTCCACGATATCTTTGACCTCATCAACAAATATCTCAAAGTGTCCGGAGAGTATGGACACGTAGATGTGCTGTAAGGTGCTCTCGGACGGGAACTGCAAGTTGTATACTGAGAACATCGAGATAAAGCGAGGGTCCACCTGTTAAACAAATATAACATTACTAGCTATCGTTTGCGACTACAACCGCGCGGAATTGAAGAAAAAAATTGTTTATTTTGGTATTAGCTTTAGCCCGCGACTCCGTCCGCATGATATTAAATAAAAACAAAAGTAAGTAGCCTATGTGCCTATGTACTCTTTCAGACTATCTTCTACAACTATGCCAAATTTCATCGAGATCCGGTCAGTCGTTTAGGCTACAAACATCCATCTAAACTTTCGCATTTTTAATCATAATGTTATTAGATTTAAAAACCACTCATAAATTAATAATCGATGCGTTCTATGTCTATTCCCAATTGCAGAAGGGATCAGTTGAGTCGATTTGAAGATATGTAGTAACAAACAGCCATCCATATTAACTTTCACATTTATAATATTAGTAAGTAAGATTTACATTTTCCCATAAAACATTTTTTTTAATTAAAGTGTCAAACAAAAATAGTTACATCGTTCCTGCCGCCGCCAGCTTTGCCCATAGAGGCGAGGAAGCCGATGTCTTTGAGATTCTTCCAATTAAGATCCTTGCCGCGATCGTAGAAGCCTTTCCTCTCGAATAACAGCTTTAACAGCGCTATCGGCTGCTGAGTGCCGTAAGTATCCACCTAAAAATGGCGCCAATATCAATAAAATTACTTTTTAACTACTTGAAAGAGAAATACGCCAATAAATCTGTACTTATTATTATAAAGAGGAATAATTTGTCATTTTGTGTGTATTGAAATAACTCAAACTACTGGGCCGATTTTAAAAATTCTTTCACCAATATATACCTAAGTTATCACTGAGTATAATATGATATACATATATACGTATATTTAATTCCTCGCAGACGAAGAAGCAAACTACAGGTAATTCGTAATACTGTAGTAATTACTTCAATGTCAGAGAAACTTTTCCGACGTTTATATATTTAAAGACTTGATAAGCTTTATAAGATCACTAGGCTTCATCCGCATGATAATTATGAAAACTTTATTTTATTATTTACATTTGTCAAATTATCAATTGCAAATGTCAAAATGACGACATGACAAACCTTGGCAATCTTGCTACCTTAATGTTGGCAGCAACTTATAGTCTCTTTCCCACATTAGGGTTTTTATCCAAAATATTTACCCCCTAAGTTTAAAGGCGTGAAAACATATAGCCTTATGCGCGACGTAAATGTAGGGCTTTTTATTAAAAAAAATCAAAAATATGCTGTAATTGCTGACATGTTAGGCAACAAAGAAGTGTGTGTCTACGGTTTAAAACTTACAATAGGCATATTCATATCGTCCATAAAGACCAACATCTTTTTGCCCACAGGAGGGCCGAAGGTGTCCTTCGTACGTTTCTCTACTACCGATTCCAAGTTGCGTTGCACGTCCATTGAGGATGTGCGCGATGAGAAATTCATTTGTTGAACAATCTAGAGCGTTGTAATAAAAAAAATGTAGTAATAAATAAAGACAATTTCATGATTTGAATAAAGAAATTGTTTTTTTTTTTCAAATAGACAAAAACATTTTTTTTTTCAGTATAAAAAATATCTTTTGGAGGCGCCGGGTATCGATCCCGGTACCTCTCGCATGCTAAGCGAGCGCTCTACCATCTGAGCTACGCCCCCTGTGTGAAAGTATAAGAAAAAATACTACAACTCAATCAAAAACTGTTTAAAAGGTCATTAAGACATCGACTTTCAATTGTATTTAAACACATGAGACGTATTGTGTAACTACATTCACTAACGTAAACAAACAAGCAGTATATTAAAACACATAAAATCCAATTTTTATTTTTTCTACAAAATAAAATAAATGGCCAGTTAATACCAGTAATAAATAATTTAGATTACAAAGTATTGACTTATCGTCAAAATCTACATATGTTCGTAGATTACAGAATATGCTTACGTATTTATCTGCGGGCAAGCCGTGCAGATAATTGGTGATAATGGCGGTCTTCGAAGTTCCAGTTTCGCCTACTAACAGAACTGGACGTTCCACCTGCAAAGCAATTTACATATATTTAGGGTTATATTTTCCTTTAATATAAAACATCAGCATTATTACTAAAATGAACAAATCGTCGTGTGGTTCCATCACGAATATTTCCCAGACAGTTACGAGAACGTGTTCGTAACGTAATCAACATTGTATAAGGTTTATTGATAGTGGCGTTGCATAAATCTAATACGAAAATTGTCGACAATGTTACGAAAACGTTGTTACGAATATTCAAGGTAAGCCCTCTGTATGACATTTGTGTTTTTACATAGTACAGCCTATGGGTTCCTTTGAGAACCTAGGGGTCATCAACCCTTTCAAATCCCGTATCGATCCAGATTACAGAACTGTGTGGGTAATTGCAATGATCACGATATACTTACGCTCTCCATAATTTTAATGAGCCAAGTGAGCCGCAAGGTGTCCACTGTGGGCACCAGGATGTTGGGGAACTTCATCTCCCGGTCGTGTACGTACTCCGGCACCAGCCACTCCCACGCCTCCCAAGTTTTCGTCGTAAGCTCCAAGCAGTAATCGTATAGCGACGGAAAACCCATCGGGAAATGTTCTGTTTAGACAATTTATTTTACACTCGCTGTTACTCGCGACTTCGTCCGCGTGAAATTAAAGAACAGACTGATAACGTAGCTTTTTATTTTTGTAAGCGGCCCTGTAGTTTTTGAGTTATTCACATACTCGTACATGTAAATCCAAAAATACAAATCTTTTCTCTTTACAATATTGGTATAGTATATATGGACATAATATAAAGCCTGATTTCAAAAACAATACCTTTTTCAATACCATGCCCGTTGTTTTTCGTTTTAATAAAATAATCTTACTTGTCGTAGCCTTTTTCTCAAGACTATCTTCGACCAACATCATCGGACAGGCCTTCTTGACGTATCCATCGAAATCAAACCTTCCATCATCCACTATACACGCACCCAAGCTGTTGTACATTGACTGTGGACAAAGTCATTTTACTAAGTATCTAAAATTTTGTAGAAAAAAATATGAAAAACCTGGAGGCGCCGGGTATCGATCCCGGTACCTCTCGCATGCTAAGCGAGCGCTCTACCATCTGAGCTACGCCCCCGTGTGAAAGAATGCTTATAAATTAACATCATAGTGCAAACTGGACCTTACTGTAAAATATAAAACATAAAAATAAAGATTTGGAGGCGCCGGGTATCGATCCCGGTACCTCTCGCATGCTAAGCGAGCGCTCTACCATCTGAGCTACGCCCCCTATGTAAGAATAAAATGAATTGAAGTTCTTATGCGTACAAAATCAAACATTGATACTTTCGCCACAGTTACGTTTATGCTGAGGTCAGTAACCAGGGCATGTAATTGAGTAATTTTGACATACCATCCATTCATATAAAAAAGCAAATGTAGTTTGCAAGGTTAGAGAACTAGGCAAGCTAGAAGAGGGGGATGGAAATCGCCTATGAACGCTAGTTGTGAACTATGTTGTGAATGTGAATTATGTTGAACATAGCAAAACGATAATTACTTAGGGAAGGTTGGAAGGAAGGAAGGTTGAAGGAAGGAAGGGAAGGTTGAAAGTAAAGAATTCGTCGTCAAATAAACGACGAATTAAGGGGAAGTTTTTCCATTTAATTATCCCACTATGCAATATTTTAGTCAACTATTTCCAATAACTGACATACTTGATGTTTATTATAGCAACGGTTTAAACATCTAATAAAACATCACTCGTTATAGTTAGAAATGTTTTTAATACGTGATCAGTGTATAAACCAGTTACAAGGAAGTTCAATGAAAGTATATGCGTAACAGTGCGGTATCGCCCGAGGCGTGCTGCTCGGTGAATGTCAACTCAGCAGTGCCCCAGTTTAAGCACGCACTCGTTTTACGCAAGGAGAATGTAATTCTATGTTTTCACTGTTTCAATACAAGTACAAAAACATATTGCTATCTCAGATTTTTTAATAAGAATGAGAGGGTTGACGACATTTTGTTTGATGGTGTGTTGCTACAATAATTTTACTTTGTCTTAATACTTTTGGCTTTTCGAGTAAGCAAACACAGGGGGCGTAGCTCAGATGGTAGAGCGCTCGCTTAGCATGCGAGAGGTACCGGGATCGAAACAGAATTAGAATAGACCAGATCCTTCATCCACGATTCTTCAATTATTTTACGTTTTTTTTTTAAATATAACAGTGAATATGAGATCAGATACATACCACCATGAAGACGCATTCGACGACAGTCCTGTCGATCTCTTCGTTAACTTCAGTGTTTGGTAGAAGTCCGCTAATCATGTAGCACAGTTGTACCACCTGACAAGGACGAAGAAGATAAAGTCATCACGAAGGAGGAAAAAACGACAGAAACAATACATTCGACAAAATGTGTAAACTTTTTTAATTCATTAATTATTTCTGTAAATTTTGTTTTGTTGTGTTTTTTCTATTTTTATTGGCCATAAACAGTATTTCATTTTATTTTATTTTAAATAGTTATTTTTTTATCGCACCTTGGACGAAGCATAATGGTATAGTGTATTAGCCTTTGTATAATGATACCAGATTTAGCGGTGTCTGCGGCACGATGGTGGCGAGCGGCGTTTGCTGCTGCAGGCCGAAGAGACCGAAGACTATGTAATTGATGGCCCCCGGCACATAGTGCTCGAACAGCCCCGCCAGCTGCTCGCGCTCCTCGTCGTTACTCCGCCCACGAAGCCACCTGACGCACCGGCATTGGTAAATAAACCTGACATGTATAGTCGCAGAAACCCGCGGTGTTCCATTTCATGAAAAATTGCTTTATTCAATGCAAATTGACAAACTCCCTTCCTACAAATAACTAAATAGATAGCAGTGAGTACAATCGAAAGGATAATAATAAAATGAAACTACGTAACACTATCAAGTTTTTTTTTCGTACAGACATAAGCTTCGTTGTATTGGTTTTATGTTCCCGTTTCAAAATGTTCAAATAATTGCAACTTGTAAGGAAAATCATCAGATTCCCCGACTGTACAGGTTTTCCAAAAGCAGGGGTTAGTTAAATAAGACTTTGTTTTGATTTATTTTAAGTTTTGTATAGGTAAGTTGTATGTTCTGTTTTTTTTTATAGTCATACCTCTCCCAGTAGGGCACATATCCCAAGTTCTTGGGGTCGACGAAGACCATGCCTGCGCGGGAGACGGTGGCCGGAGAGGCGTAGTTGAGGTCGCCGACTTCAAAGAGCAGTGAGCAGTACGGCGCGAGGCGGATGCGCTCGCCGTTGGCCAACGTCAGCAGCCGGTTGTCATCCATCACAGAGTTCATGTTCTCTATCCACAGCGCATCCACGTCGCCGTCGAACAAGGAATACCGACGCTCGTCTTTTTCTGCCGGCCTATATACAACAATACTTTCTAATATATTTTATATTGCTCGCGACTTCGCTCGCGTCAAATTAAGAAAAACAATAAAAACTACAGCCTCTGTTACTCACAGATAAATTAGCTTTGTAACGGTGAAATAAATTTTAAAATTGGCCCAGTAGTTTTTGATTTATTTCAATACATACAAAAATACAATTTTTTACGCTTTCCTCTTTACAAAATTAGTATAGAAGATATAATATAAAAATAAAGATTTGGAGGCGCCGGGTATCGATCCCGGTACCTCTCGCATGCTAAGCGAGCGCTCTACCATTTGAGCTACGCCCCCTGTGTGAATAGTGACAAAAAATAAGAACATGATTAAAAATACATTTCTTATTTAACATTCGCCTGCAGGTATTTATTATATTATTGTAAAATCGTACCATAAAGTGGTCAGAACATTAATTCTTACATTACTCACCTGTTCATTTCGCGAAATATTTTCGAATAGAGTCCATCCGTCCAGTCTCTGGTCACTGGATCAAGAATGCCGTACAACTCGATCACTGAACAAGCCTGTCACAAACATATCAAATACAAATCTATATTCGTAACTTTCCTTTGTATTCAACGAAAAAAGCGTCCCTAATATCTAATAACCTTTTCTTATTTTCACATAATACTAGCTTTCGTCCACGACTCCGGTCGCGTGAAATTAAAAAAAAAAACAAAAGTAACTAGCCTATGTGTTCTTTAGACTATCCTCTATATCTATACCACAAACATCCTTCCCTTCAAACATACACATTTATGACATTAGTATGATTTTAAAAGACACAATAATACGGTTGAAATGTGTTCAGTGCTACTGTACTGCAACGGGGAAGCCGCACGGAGGGGAACTCTTCTCACTTCGTCCGACTCGAAGGACCAATGTCGAATGGCCTGTATTTTCTTGGCTAAAGTAAAATAAGACTGTATTGCTGGCAAACTGTTTATTGTATAACATATGAAAAAAGTAAGAGGTCCGTGTTTCCGAGATGTCGTTCTCAGCGCGACTAATTGCAGCGCGGTGTGCAGGCCCACGAGGGACGAATGAGGTGCGAAGGGTTCCCCGTTGCAGTGCAGTAGCACTGAACAAAATGGTAACCTTAGGATTGACTACGGTGAGCTTGGTGGGCGTGCCGAGGTCCGTCTGCGCTTTGACGAGGGTGTCGAGTATGACGGTCTTGCCGCCGCCCGTCGGCCCCACCAGCATGGAGCAGTGCCGCGTCATCATCGTCTCGTACAGCTGCACCACTTTGTCCACCTTATAGAAGTAACCATTTCATAGACAAGATGCTCCTTTGAGCCATAAATTAATCTATGATATACTAATATAATAAAGCTTAAACACAGTTCTTACTTATGTAGGATGTCAGCAATCACATTACATTTTTGAATAGCGCTGTTTTTTTTAATAAAAGACCCTTACACAAATATAACAAAAAAATTAAGTTTTTATAATTTCGGGAAGTACCGTTTCACCCGCATGAAATTCAGATTATTATTCTAAATAAACAACTATATAAAATTTGAGATAAATTCATACATTTAATTGTGCAATTTCACCTGATGCGGCATGACGATGTATCCTCCTCGCTCGAGCACCACAGTGACGGCGGCGTTGAAGTCGGGGTAGCCGACGCGCGGACACTCCAGCCCCGGGAACAGGTCCTTGATCAGACCCAGGAACAGCGGCACGTCCTCGAACACGAACTTCGGGTGGTTCATATCTCTGTCATACGAAAACACACAAAAGTCAATACAATTTTCTAGCAAGGCAACATGGTCACTTAATGATAAAGGGAATCAGTTTTGAATAATTGAGAACAGTGCCGTTCTAGTTTATCAACAACATAATTTACGCCAACTAGCCAGAGACTATAGACCACCATTTGTATTAATATACCCCTCTTGCGTCTTCTTCATTTATAAATTTACGTATACATGAACGTCACTTTAAGGTGCTCTTGGTACCATTCTTTCCGAGTATTTAATCAATCTGTTCATTAAGTCAGTCAAGTTACCGTCTTACATTAAAAAAGTCAGCTCATTTAATATATTCAAATCTATGTTATCGCAACATATTTTAGAAAATGCGTAAAAATATATAAAATAGCTTTCGCACGCGACTCCGTCCGCGCGGAACTAAAAAAAACAAATGCAAGTAGACTATGTCTTCTTCCAGACTATCCTCTACATTTAAGCCAAATTTTATCGGACGCCGTTCAACCGTTTAGGCAACAAACTCTGACAAGCATGCATCCATCTAACGTTTCGCATTTATAATATTAGCATATTAGTATGCTTAGCGACTAGCCATTAAGCTAGTTTTATTTAGTTAATTGTGAAACTATGCATTTTAAAACAGTAACTTTCATGTTATAAATGAAAGGTGACATGATGATAGAGTTATTTGGAGGACGAAAACCCGGAGCGCCGACGTTAGGAGTAGGATAAGGTAGGGGAGATGATGAACTTTTCATGTAATACCTGAGCGCTCTCATGAGCACCATGATCTCGCTGAGGCCGGGCGAGTCGCGGCGCAGCTTGCCCGCCATGCGCAGCACCGCCGTCAGCGCGCGCAGCCCCCAGTCGTAGTGCGACTGCTTCGACAGCTGCTCGCGCGCCACCTTGTACAGCACCGTCATCTTCTTAGCCAGCACCTCAACACAACACAACATACCACAAGCTCAGACATCTTCAACTTCGCGGATCCCTAATCTATATATCTATACTAATATAATACAAGCGTAAACACACATTACTTCGTGGCGTAGGATGTCAGCAATCAAAGTATATTTTTGAATAATTCCTTCTTTAATAAAAAGCCCTACATTTACGTCAAGTTTTAGGTAATACATTTTCACGCTATACAAAGGGGTGGGGGGTTAATCAATTGGAAAAAAAACATTCATGTGGGAAAGGGACAATAAAGTACAAGGTAACATCAAGGAAGCGAGGTTGCCATGGCGACGGTTATTTTTATTCAATGTCAATGGCCTTTGTCGTCATTTATGTATTTATATGTACTCAATGTAAACAATATAACTAAGTTTTTATCATTTCATGCGGTTATAGATAATAATAGGGATACAGTAAGTGAATAGACATAGAACAGCTTACCTTAGCTGTAAGAAATCCATCAGAGAAAAGAGATATCTGGCAGATCATCTCAAGGTCTGGTAAGATGCAGACAACTGGTCGGAAGAGCGCCTTCACTGACTCCGGCAGCTCGGTGCGGCCCGCGTACCCCGGGTTCATCGTTATGAAGATGCCCACCTTGCTGTCCATAGCTATCTCTTGACCTTCAAACTGAAAACAAAAATAAAAAATACAAATAAAACGGAAATCTTACTTCTTGTATGGTACGCGAAAGTTTAGATAGATGTATGGATGTTTGTTACTACGTTTCACTACAACGGCTTATCGGACCTTGTTGAAATTCGACACAGATGTAGAACATAGTCTGAGAAAGCACAGAGGTTATTTTTCTTTAATTTAACGGGGAAGGACTCGCAGTAGCTAGCTAGTCTATACTAAAAGTATAAAGAGAGAAGATTTGTATGTTTTGAAATAACTAAAAAACTACTAGTCCGATTTTAAAAATTCTTTTACCATTAAAAATCTACGTAATCAGTGAGTAACATATAGCATTTTTTTTTATTTTGCAGGGACGATAAAATATTTTGAATACACTCACTGTAAATCTTTTCAGCTTCATAAGTAAAGCACTTCGTATACACTGCAGCTGTGTGGATATGACGGAGAGCACGGATATATCTATCCTGTTGAACTCGTCGAAGCAGCCCCAGGCGCCGCACTGGCAGAGGCCGGCCAGGATCTGCCCCACCGCGCGGAAGTCCATACCCTCGCCGCAGTTCGTCACCACGCACAGCAGCCCCAGCGCCTTCGCCAGGTCTTTTGTCGTCTCCGTCTTACCGGTGCCGGCAGGACCTTAGCATGTAATAAGAGTTTGAACATGAACCGCTATTTATATTACCATCACCATCACTAGTTCGCTATACGTCCCCACCGCGGGGCTCGGAGTCTACCCTAAGTTAGGGTGACTAGGCTGTAGTCAACCACGCTGCCCAAGTGCGGATTGGTTGACTTCATAAATGTCTTTGAATTTCTTCGCCAATATGTGCAGATTGCATCACGATATTTTCTTTCGCCGTAAAAATGCGGGTATATTATATTTATATCAAACCAGTAATATTCGTTAGTTGAGAACAGCGCCATCTATCTTACAAATTGTATTCATCAATTTCTTCTAATTTTTAACTTGTCGATCATTCTGTGTGTACCATACCTGCGGGTGCGCCTCCCAGCTGCATGGTGAGAGCTTGTGTTATGGTGAGGTATATGCGATCTGTTAGTGGCGTTATCACAAGTCGACCGTTCAAACCCATATATTCATATCCGTATTCGAACAAACCTGTAAAATAAGACAAAATAAAGGCCTAACATTACTCTCTACATCAAAGACTTAAAACAAAGACATTAAAATATATAGACAAGGCATACTGAACAAAATTTTACACTACTTTCCTAAAAGGTACTATATCATTCAAGTTTAGTGCCACCTCATGTTCTTTTATTGACTTGTAATAAAACATTTTACAAAATTTTAATAAGCTTCTTTTTTGTTATAAATAAACTAAGCAGTGTTATAAAATAAAATATAAACAATTAAATATAACAAATGGTTGTAAGGATCTAAAAATAGATAACATTAATAATCAATGAAAAAATGTCTCAAGTAAAGTGTCAACTATGCCTTCTCTATATTTTTTAATCTCTTTGTGTAAACAAAAAACAAGATATCGATTGACCGGTGCACTGTCGTATCCAGAGGTTGTCATCTCGCTTGAGCCAGTAGAACCTGAGCTGGCTCTCCCACTGAAAAGCAGTCGCTTCCGTCACGTTGTCCCGCACGAAGCCCTCGATGATGTCCCGCGCGTGCACGTCAATGGTCGTGATTGTGCGGAACTTTAGACGGTCGTTTGACGACAAATCTGAATGGTCCAAGTAAAATAAATATAAAAAACAATTTGTAGTCTTCCCTAGAAATTTATAGATTGGTTTCTTTTAGTTATATTAAGAAGAAGACCGAAAAAAGTATGGATGGATTTTGTTTAAGAGGAGAGATAAGGGAGTGATTTCAGATATGACGGCTGATAGAGATGTATGGAAGAGTGGCACATACTATATTGACAAGGGCAAGTAAATAATGATGAAATGTTAGAATTATCTTTTGTATGGACATTTCCATTCTCTATATGTACATTTCCAATATCGCAGTACACACCTTGTCTGACTTTAACAACCAGTCCATCTAGTTGTTGGTTCTGCTGCGCGAGATGTTCTTTCATGGCGCGCTTGTTGCCTTTCCGTATGCGATAAAACGTCTCCTCCGTCTCCGCCGTCCACCAGACGCCGTTGGCCGCCAGGCACACCATACCTTGGTACTCCATTATCCACTCCGTCCTGATCAAGTTGCAATTCGCGTTACAAGACATCTGACGTCAGATCACTTCTGTTCAAGTCATGGTCAGAAGTAGACAAAGGGTCATAATTGAATAATTTGGCATTAAATCTGTTAATAGAAATAAAGCTAAAGACTAAAGAGTATTACTAGCTTTCGCCCGCGACTCCGTCCACGTCGAATTAAGAAAATAAATGTAGAAGTGTTCTTCTAGACTATCCTCCACATCTATGCCAAATTCCATAGAGATCCGTCCAACCGTTTACAAAAAATCTAACAAACATCCATACAAACTTTCGCATTTATAATATTAGTAAGGTTTGTTGTCTCTTTCGTTTATTATAACATCAATTATAACAAACCTGGGTACGTTCCAATTTTTCCCGTAGTAGAATATCGCCTTCTTGGTGATGAATTTGTTAGTCCTGCGCATCTCGTTGAGGACCAGGTTCATCCAGTCCTCCACTCTGCCCTCCGTGTACACGATGTAGCGGAAATCCATTATCTTAAACATATTACATATTTCTTTAACATAAAACTAACTTAGGCCATGACTCCGTCCGCGTGAAATTAAAAAAAAAAACAAAAGTGAGTAGCCTAGTGTTCTTCTAGACTATTCACTATGCCGAATTTCATCGAGATCCGATCAGTCATTTAAGTTACAAACATCCATCCATCCATCTAAACTTTCGCATTTATAATATTAGTAAGAAGTAAGATGTGTCAAAAGAGCGAGCCATACGTCTAAATAGCAAAGTTAATACATAAATATTAGTAAAGTGTATCTTCTTTCTTTTTTGAATTATAATTAAAGAAATTGTATGTATGACTATTTAAAATTACAATATGTATAGAACATCACCTCTCCTTCAGCAGATATCATTTTAGAGGCGACGGGTCGATTGCTGTGGTCGACATACAACTCCAAAGCGCGAATATTATCGAACATCTGGAATCAAATACATTGCTATCTCTGTCTTTTTCATAACTAAGAAAAAGGATGACATTATACGTTTTTGTGCATGTTGTTACATTACAATAAGTAAAGCTTGTTAATGGAAACGCGTAGCTCAAGCCTTAAGATGAATTTACCTTGATCATATGCTCCTGAACACAGCTGCACTCACTGCTGCCGAGGATCGAAAGCAGCTCATCAGTCGAGATGAAGAAGAATCTTGGAAATATACGTCTTTTCGAATCCAAGTAATCATTCAAAGACTTCTGACATCTGCAAATATAATTAATAATAATTAATTTAAAAAGTGAATAAATTAATTGGACATATCTAATACTAGCTTTTTCCCGCGACTTTATCAGTGTGCATTTAAAAATACAAAAGTACGTAGCCTAGGTGTTCTAGACTATCATCTACATCTAAGCCAAATAACACCGAGATACGTTCAGCATCTTAGGCTACAAACTCTAACAAACATCCATCCAAACAAACTATTGCATTTATCATATAAGTAAAATTAAACTTACTTCTGCAGTCCCAGTCCCAAGTTGACAAACTCTTCTAATCTCCCGCTTATCATGCAGCAGTCGACGACGTTTAAGCGCTTTGCGGTGTCCAACATAATCTGTTAACAAAAAACAGACAATTTTTAAAAGAAACTCCACTGACCGTAACTATAATTATGACTATACTAGATGTCGCCCTAGACTCCTTCTGGGTGCAATTAAAAAAACTAAAGTGAGTAAGTAGCCAACGTGTTTTTCAGACTCTCCTCTGCGCCTATGCCAAATTTCATCGAGATCGTTCAGCCGTTAAGGCTACGAATTTTAACAAATATCCATCCATCTAAGCTTTCGCATATATAATATTAGTTACAGAAAAATACGAAGTGAAACGATCAGAGAAGACCTCAAAATAGACTGTCAGCATGTTCATTATAAGAGATACTGAGTATTGCAGTTTCTTACTTTTCTAAAGGCTCTGTCAATGTCATCAAACTTCTTAGCCTCCTCGGGCAGCTGCGTGCGGATGTCTCCGCCTACAAAGATGCCCTCCAAGTAGAGCCACTTGCGCTGCGTGGCCAGCCACTCCTCTATTATCTCCGAGATCAGCGACAGGCGGCGCTCCCACGTCTGCACCACTGTTAGGAACGGACCTATAAACCTATATAGAAAGTTTAACAATGTTCATTATATTTTAGTTTATTTCGTCAGTATTGTAACTTATGAATTGAAATAACGGCATATGGTATAAACTATAAACTGAATATTTAGTAGATTTCAAGAAAAAAAACGTTATAGACAACTAATTCCAGCTTTAGAAAGTTTTTAATAATAGTACTAAAAAAATAGACTTTGTTTCATAACTAATCATAAAATGTTGACTGAAAATCTTAATCAAGAAGTTAACGAAGTTACTCTCTGACCATAATTTTGGTTAAGACATTCTATAAATGAATTAGTTAATGAATATTGCCGTTAAAGTACTGACTGCGATGCGGCCATTCCCTGCAACGTCATGGCATCATCGTCCAGTTTGACGACGATCTCATCGCAGGGGTTGAGCGTGTACCCGCGGTCCTCCCCGCGCGCAGAGTGCCGCGACACCGTGAACATTATGTTAGCCCACGTGTCCTGAACCTCTTTCACGCCGCGCTCGATAGCCAGCTCCTACCATTACAAGCTAGATTTAGCACCAGCTCACTAAATGTTTGTTAAGCTACCAATCTATTCAAGCTGTCTAACTTTGAAGAGAAGCTAAAGTTCCTATAGCTGAATAGTACGGGTTGCGTGTCCGAAGTTTCAAATCATCTTTCTTAAATATTTTTTTACGCAGTTCTCACTTGGCCAGTACAGTTGGTCAGTGGCACTATAACTGGACTGGTAATCAACTGGCATAGTGTAAACAGTAACTGGTACTTGCGAGTCCATAGTAGTGTAAAGGATAACAAACTTTTATAGCGTGGTTGACGATCTCCTCAGCCACATCCTGGTATTTGTGAAGTTCCATAGCGAACATGTTCTCTAGAGTGAAACGATCCGGGGACATGTCGAAGTCCTGACCTGAATTTAGCATGAAACATTTTCATAAGTATCTTAAATTATTTTAGATATTAATATTGGAGATAAAATACCATCGAAAAAGGATTACATTTTAATATTGTAAATTAAAAAGGAAGAGTTTTTAAATTTGTGACTAAATACTCACCAGTTTTGTGCATCAGTTCTTTCCAGTGCCGTTCCCGCATCGCTTCATTCTTTAGCGACACCATCAGTGGAACTACACCCTTAAACTGTTTCATTTTAAGATCTAGCATCAAACCCACAGGAGTAGATCGAGTCGCTTTTGGTAGTTTGCTTTACAAAAAAAATCTCAAATTAATCGCGAGAAAAAGAATTGAATTCTTTTTGTTTGCCTTTGATTTAAGGTATTTTTACTAAAATCATACACAATATGTTAACTTACCGATACTCTTTGAAGAACTGCTCTATGCCATCGACAAGTGCTTGTGGGTTTAGATTAACCCATAGAGTCCTAGCCCAGATCTCCCGCGCGTACTTCTGTGCTTTATATATCTTGTATATCAACTCCATAGCATTGAAATCAGATTTAGCACGATTGAAGTTCGAGAAATCGGCTAGAGGATTGTCGAAGAGTTGTTCCGCAGCTTGGAGATTTTTCTTCCGCGATTCTAGCTCATCGAAATACTTCGTATATTCCTGATTTAAATATACACAATCATGTATACTTAAATTGAAGTCATATAATGCTTAAACATTGCTGTTGATTACTTTTAGACAATGCAACCGACATTGGCATCGTCGTAAATTTCAATTTTATAATAACTACTTACAACTCTTCACTTATCTTTTAGAGAAATAATCGCGTTTTTAATTTAATTACTAGTATTACTTTATTACTACTTAATTAATTATTTAATTACTACTATTACTAGTATCTTAAGCGCTTAAGAAACTCCGAGTCTTCAATAAATAGGGAAAAATAAAATATACGAAAAAACGCCTACCTCCATTAATAAAAGACCTCTGTCCATATCTTCACCTATAGTCCCGGGTCCTTCACTATCAAACTTTTCAACAAAATCATCAAGCTCTTTGAGGAACTTCGATATCTCTGCGACGTTCAACTTTGAGAACTTCTCCTTGGTCTGTTCGAGAGTGTTGCCGCGGAACAAGGACGACTGGTACAACGAACCCCAAGATGATTCCAGATTTTTAGCAAAAAGGAGATCATCATCTGCAACCTATCAGATTAAATGAGAATTTAAGATTTAATCTCTTTCTATCTTTTTAATTACATTAAGGACACAAATACTCATAATTCGTCTTCTTCAAACATTCTTTGATGGGGGAAAACAGACATTTAAGAAATATATACTCTAGACATGGGAAAAAACATTTTTTCACCGGTAACTTCTTTGTACCGTAATATCTCAAAGTCTTTGACGCCAAAACGCTTCTCAGTGTTTGAATTATTTGTATGTTTGTGATTTTGACTATAGGACACCAGCTAGTGCTAGTGACTAGACTATCAAAACGATCCCAGGAAGACGGTAACCTAGAGTCCTTTGTTGCCGTAACATCGTGGAGCCACAGGGAGAGTTTGAGTGCCGAAGGTTCCGGTGTGTTTCTTAGAGATCTCGGAACCTTCGTTAATGTCACTAGAGGATGGCCACCGAGGGGGTTTTAGTAGGTGAAATCCTACATAACCCTGCCTTTCCCCCAGAAGGCAGGGTATCTTTTGGAGATTTCACCCCAGACACCAAAAAAAAGGTGCTAGTGAAATAATGTGAAAAGTATTTCAAGTCTCTTTTAATCTCTTTAGGTGAAAGAGATTTTATACCGACATTTCGCTAGTACTTAGTTGCATACCTCGATGCCGTGCTGCCTCAGCATGTGGAATATCTCCTGCATACCCCGGTACTTCACCTCCGCGGTGATGGTCATGGCCTGCACGTGGGTGATGGTCGCCATCACCAGTTTGAAGTCCTCCAATCCTTTTATGTTCATATTCATTGTCATACGGAGAGACTGAAAATTGAATCTAACATTACACTTGACATCTAGAAACCTATTAGGTATCACAAATTTTAATTAAATGGAACATACGAAGTCTTAATTGTATTAGAAAACATACGAACTATATAAATTACAAAAAGCTACGTATCCCTCGGGAAGCGGACATTTATCGGGGATGAAGCTTATCCCATGTGTACTCCAGACTTTGTTTTATATCTGTGCCAAATTTCAATAAGATATGTTGAACCGTTGCAGAATGATCGAGTAAACATTAAAAAACTAACTTAATGAATCTCACGGGAACCGTAACTATTCCCGGGATAAAAAGTAGCCTATGTGTTCTTCCAGACTATGTTCTAAACCTATGCCAAATTTCATGGAGATCCGTTTAGCCGTTTAGGCTACAAACGCTAACAAACATACATCCATCCATCCATCCATTCATCCATCCATCCATCCATCTAAACTTTCGCATTTATAATATTAGTAAGATAGTAAGATTAGTAAGAAGTAAGATGGCAGTTAACTTTTAAATCATAAAAGTAACAATACTATATTTTTACTGATTTTTGGGAAAATATAGACATGAAAAACCATTGAGGTTTAGCGTTTATTGTTGCGTGTTAAGTTGATTTTGTTTAGTTAAAAGGCAAATAAAAAACTTATACTAGAGTTTTGTGATGTAAAAAGTTATTAAAACTATACGTTACCTCAATTTGATTCTTAAGGTCGTACATGCTCATTCTGGTCTTCGAGGCAAGACACTGTCCCAGTATATTCTTCCAGTCCTGCGAGTGCGTCTGTATCTGCTTGATGATAGGGCGCAGGTTGACGCGAATCGCGCCCACGTCCACGAACTTCACGTGCTCGTTCAAGTCCGCGATTATATCCTCGAAGAAGAAGAACTTCTCGTCGTACTTGTTTATCTGGTCGGTCTTCTGCGTGTATTTCTCACACGACAGATGTTTGTCGAAAGCCCAGAGATGTTGGTATTTATGCCATCTAGAAATGTCACAGTAAACTCACATCATTTAAGTAACTGTCTTATTCTGGATTAAGTCATTACTATGATAAAGTAGTCCCTTTTTTGAGATATTGTAATGTAGGTATACGCAATAATTATAACACGACTTATATGATTATACCCTGTCAATATTAGTCAATTGTATTTAGTCAGATTATATATCTTGGACTACGCACGTCTTTTATTTCATACACCACAGACTTAATATGTTACCATTGCGCGATTTAAGTAAATCATACTAATATTATAAATGCGAAAGTTGTATGAATTAGAAGGATGTTAGTTCTGCGTATCTAAAAAACTGCTTAACGGATCTCGATAACGAAAGCGCGGGAAATGGTATAAGTGAAGTATTATTACTTATACCTAGGTAGAGGTAGACGTAGAAAGAGATGGATGGATTGCGTGAAAGGTGGCATGATCAAGAAGGGAGTGATGACTGAGATGACGTATGATAGAGTTATGTGGAGGACAAAAACCTGTTGCGTCACTACGGGAGTAGGATAAGGACGATGTTGATGTTAGTAAAGAGATAGTTACTTCTGTATATAGGCCTGTATGTCCTGTGTAAGACGGTACATGGTGTCCTGCAGCAGCAGCGTGATGTCGTTGATGGAGGCGACGCGCAGTACATCCTCAAAGAAAGAGAACACGTAGTACTCGTTGCCGGTGGCCTCCGCGATGCGCTGCGGCGGACACGGCAGACACGTGTTCCGCATCCAGCGCGGGAACGCAGTCAGTCTGGAATTAATATGTTAATGAAATATTGAAAAGATTGAGTTTTTCAGTATATAAAGTAAGGCAAATCAAATTTTATGTCGCATAAAATTTAATCGACTGATAAATGAGGAAAGTAGAAAAAACACAACCGATATAGTTAAATATTTATAACATTCAATAAGTAAAAAACAATAATTAAATATGAAAGCTTAGATGGATGGATGGATAGATGTTTGTTAGAGTTTATACCCTAAACGGCTGAACCTATCTGGATAAAATTTGGCATAGATAAGCACAGTCCAGGAGAACACATAGGCTATTTACTTTTGTTTTTTTAATTCCACGCGGACGGATTCACGGGCAAAAGCTAGTAATACATTAGTCGAAAAATATTGTTTTTCTTTCTTGTTGCTTTCACAAGATAATTTTTAAGAGAACTGTGAACCTGTTGAGGAAGTGTTTGATATCGTATCCCAGTATGTTGCAGACTTCAGCGGCGGTGGGGCGCATGGCGATGTCGGGCGGCACCAGCACCGCGTCCACCTGGAACAGCGCCTTGCGCTCGCTCAGGCTCTGCTGGAACTGCTCCATGTTCTCCAGAGTTAGTCTGATCACAACACCACCGACACACATTTGAAATCAAATAATTGAATGATCGAGTGAATGTAAATTAAAAGAACGATTGAATGTACGAATAGAACGGATGTATGAATTTAGCACATTGTTATATTTTTTCATATAATGAATTAACTCAAAATTTATATTTTTCGGGAATTCGCTTTTGAAGTTTGGTATGTTTACACAGATTTTAGATAAGAGAGAGACGTTGTGCTATCTCTTTTATTTTCATTTTTTGTGACGCGAGTTGAATTAGTCCTATTATTCCTGCGAAAACAATTTTGTTTATGTTGAAATATTAAAAAAAAAACATAAATTTTGAGTTAATTCTTTTTATGAATAAATGTGCGATTTAGTTACGTACTTAATGAGAGATTTAAATATCTTCTGTTCCCAGTGCATGTAGTAGGAGGCCATGACCTCTGAGCGGCCGGCGCTGGTGCCCAGGATGAGGTACTCCAGCTTCATCAGGATGGGTCCGATGCGGTCGTACAGCCGCGACAGCATCGTCACGCGGCTGTTGCGCTCATTCGCCACTTCCACGAAAAACGTCTAAATAACATATAGATTATCGTAAAACACTTGCACGTCAAATATACATACATACAAAAAACTTTTAAATACAAAGATTTCTTACTCTTCACCATACTTTAACATGAGTATTAATATCATCCATGGTTATCATCCATCCAACCGTTAGATTCAATTCTAGTCCGTACAAATTAAAAAGAACTTTGTATGAAATATTTAAAAAGATACACGCCATTGTTATTTATCCTTCGACAAATATTTAAATAGGTTTCACAGGCGACTACGTCCGTGGAATTAAAAAAAAAACAAAAGTAAGTAGCCTGTGTGTCTTCTAGACTTTTCTCTATATTTGTGCCAAATGTCATCGTGATCCGTTTAGCTTTTGAGGCTACAAACTCTTACAAACATCCATCCACCCATCTGAACTTTCACAATAGTAAGATAAGAAGTGAAGATAATACAAATAAATTAAGTGAATAGTTTTAACAGGATTCTTAAGATAACCGTACCTTGCAGGGATAAAGCCATGTTGAATCCGGTTCTCCTGTGTCTGGATTCACGTAGTTCTCAGGCTTCAACAGCGGGAATAGATCAAAGAGTTCTAATTGATCGATCAAAACTAGAATCTCCTTTTCTACCATTTTTAACTGTTGGTACACTGCTTGTAAGGAATTTTGCCCTAAAAGTAAAAAAATAAATATAATCAAATTAAAACGAATAATAGAAAACAAATAAAAAAAGACATAATTTGGAGCTCAGATCAAAATGAAAACTAGTAACAAGAATTAAGAGTTTTAACGTAAAATGTACACTTTATGGTTAAAATATTAAGGTCCAATACTGAAGGCCCTTATTAGATTTTTTCACTTTTTATTTAAATTCGGTGTTTTGTTCAATTATATGTATATCCTTGGCTCGTTTACTAGGTTGATTCCCTGTTTTGAAGGAGCCAATGACTTCCCTTTATTCGTGTAATATTATAACAGGATTTACTAAAACAAAATAGATTCAGTAATGCACCATTATTTCATAATGATTAATAATAAAATTTGAAGTTTAATTTTTTTTTGTAAGTTATTAGTTAGGTAAATATGTAGGTGTAGGTGTGTACATGTGCTAGAATGTGGTAGAATGAATGTGTGTTTGTATTTTGTATGGTGAGTGGTTGTTAAATGGTAAAATCAATTATGTTATTGTTATTTATTATTTATTTATAATAAATCAATTAAAACTGCAAATACCTTTAACCCTTAATTGCATCATGCATTTATACATCAGTCTTTTCTTCCTTACGCAATAGACTATTTTGAAAAATCATTTTTTTTTATTTATCTCTTAATCTATGTTCAATTCACTATCCGTTTCAATTTATAGTATTTAAAAAGAAACATCATGCATTTAAGGGTTAACTCTATCAAATTTTAATCAGGATTTGTAAAGTGTTTGAATTTTAGCGGGTTTTATTACCTTTAGTAATATCTGTGATGTAATCTTTAATCCCGAGCGCGTTCCAGGTGATCCTGGTGAGTCCTGGCAGGATGTGTCTCTCCATGTCCAGCAGGTGGCGCTTCATGAGGTGCGTCTCCGAGGGGCTGAGGGAGCTCGCGTTCACGTTGTACCGCCCTATCACTATCTCTAGGGATTCTAATTCGTAGTAAAGCCGGCCCTTTTGCATCGCCACGTCACGAATGTTGGATGGCAGATTGAAGCCTGATAAATAAAAAAAAATTAAATGTAAATTATTTCGTGATATAACAAATTTAAAATTAAATAAAAACTTCAAGTTTAATGGATCACACTGAAATTTGGTGCAGATGTAGAACATAGTCTTTGAGAACAATAACCTACTAGGTTTTTATGCGTACGGCTTCGAGGGCGACAGCTAGTGTTTGATACTTACCTAATTGTTCCATAAGTTCAGCCTCCTTGAGTATCATGAATATCTTTTTATCGAAATTTGTGTGGAACTCCAAATCGTATTCTTGCATCAATTTGTGCACGGTCAGATCTCGCCAAGTTACGTCCGTCTGTTAACAAAATAATAAACTAATTGAAAAATAATTGATACATGAATAAAAAGCCGTTCTTTAGAATAACTCATATAGCGTACTTTTATATTTTTGATTTCTGTGAAAAAGATTTTTTATAATAATTACCAATCCTTCCTTGGCCAGCAGGGACATGGAGCTTGGTGAGCGCACGTTCTCGTAATGCTGGCCCGGGATTCGCATCAGCATTACTGCAAGTCATATCATAGTTTACTGAATAAAATAAATATCAGAAAACTTGAAGATTTTAATTAATTCATTATTTTTAACTTTCATATTCACTACATTATCCTACTTCTGTAGGGTCGGCGCACCGGCTTTTTGTCCTTTAATAACTCTATCATACGTATATCATCTCAGTCATCACTCCCTTCTTGATCATGTCACCTTTCACGCAATCCATCCATCTCTTACTAGGTTTACCTCTACCGGTCCTTGTTACATGAGATTCATCCCTCCTCATAACATGCCCATACCATGCTTAACTTTTACTTGTTAAAAAGTTCACTTACATGCTTTATCTCTGCGTCGTTTTTCAGCAATCTCCTTATTAACGACGTCGACGGCGGCAAGTGACGTGCGCGAGGGTTTCTTCTTACCGCGGACGCCGACGCCTTTCTTTGGTTGCGCTACCTCTGAAAATGGTACAAAAGATTTTACACATTCATATGTAAAAGTTTACAATAAGACTTCTTTCGTAAGTATAAGAGCCATATACAAAAGTCTAATACAAAAATATGGAACAGATTGCCAACTAGTGTACACACTTACCATCTTCTATATATGCAGCTTGAAAAAAAATTTTAAATATAGTTTGAGTTCACGTGAAAATAAATATTGAATTAAAAGTAATTTTATAAACATAGCTCCAATAAACCAAAAGACAAATAAATTTTCTAAACTCACCGATTCCCGCTTTAAATTTAACTTGCAATATATTCTTCTTCATGACGTTATCAACGAATAAAGAGGAGACATCCACCCACTCCTTAAACTTGGCGTCCTCGTATTCCTTGATCACCTTCGAGAACGCCTTGTACTGGTTGAAGGCCTCCTTCTTCTGCTCACAGTCATTTAGTTCTGGCACCTAAAAGAAACAATGTCTTAAAAACATTAGTATATAAAAAAAAACATTAATTGGCACAAACAAAGAGGTAATCCGTCGTCTGTATCTAAATACTATTCTGAGGAATACCTTTTGAAACTTCATGACGGGCCGCTTCATTTTGATGAACAAAGCGCGCGCCCAGTAGATAGCGCCTGCTACCGGCGGGTGGTCCCGCAGCAGAGGTGGGTTCTTACGATGACGCTACGAAAATAAAAAAATAAACAAAAAAACGAAGTACAATTATATCCAATACTAGCTGTTGCTCGCGGCTAGTCCGTGTGAAATTAATAAAATGTAAGAATATGTTACTGCCTATAGTGTGTCTAAATAATTTAGATTAGTTTGACAATTCATTTCAAATTTAGTAGGGATGGGTTGTGTAAAATAAGTCATGAATCTTATCGATTTTCGATTTTTATCCTTATAGAAGTTGGAATCGATAATTTATAGTTATAACTTATGAAATAAAAAAAAACACTGTTTTCTCAAATTAATAATGACCATAACAAATAATGAGAGTTAATAATGTTTATTACTACTACAGCCGTACGTAATCGAATTGGATTTCGCTATTATTTCCGTCATCGCTAAATTTTTTACTCTATAATCAATACAAGAATTGTTCTCTAAATTAGTGAATAAAAAAATTTTGAGTTGAGTTTGATAATTATTTAAACCGAATATCGATAGTTACTCAGTAGGTAGCTCAGTACATTTCTAGTCGTCACCACGGAACGTCCGATATCTTTTACATAGTTGCCTTAGTGTATTCGTTTTATAATAATTCACCTATATGGTTCATATTACCTCGATTATCACATTTTTAAAGAAGTTATTCGTATCGAAATTTATTATATAGATATTTTGTTGAAAACTACCGTAAATTTATCCTCCACTGAGGTGATCTCCTTGATGAACTGGCGCATGACGAGATCAAACTTTGTGGACAACTCGTGACGGATCGCCTCTCTGGTGTCGAACTCCAGGAACTTCAGAAGTACATCTAGAGCTTCGTCTGAAAACCTAAAATTTTAACAAAACAGTTTTAAAATAACACTATTGTAAATTGTCAGATTCTCGTCTAGTCAATATCAAGCTGTTCCCGTTCGTCTTCATCCGCATGTAATTACAAAAACTTTATTTTATTGTTTACATTTGTGAATTTTTCATTCGCTAATGTCAAAATTCGATTGCACAAATGAACAAAGGGCTTTGACATTGGATAACAAGTACCGTTACCACAGCAACCTTGCTTCCTTCATGTTGTCAACTTTTTTTTTGGCTCTTTCCCACATGACAGTTTTTTCCAAATTATTTTCTCTCTCTAATAGCGTTAAAATAAAGCATGTCGTAATGGTAGGGTTTTTGTATTAGAGAATTATTATTCAAAAATATGCTGTGATTGCTGACATCCTATATAACTGTGTGTTTACGCATTATTATATTGGTATAGATACGCTTTACCTTAAATTGCCAAAGCTTTGGTTAATATAGTTCTTCGCCTCATCCTCGAGGTAGCGAACCTCCTTCCAGAAGTCAGACATAATGACGTCCCAGTTCTCCTTGTTGTCGAACACGAACACGCTGAAGTCAATCGTGCGTATGGGGTACACGAGCCGCTTCACGCGTTTACGAACATCGTCGATCTGCGTCGGGTCGCTGATTATCGACTTTAACTCCGAACCGAATATACGTTCAAAGTCAATTAACACCTGGAAAAAATACTAATCTTTATATTGAACTACGTATATACGAACTATATACTCTTATATTGGTATAGTGTGTGTAGGAGACCTGTACGATGTCGGCGAGGTCTCTGGCGACGCTGCCGATGTAGTCGGTGGTGTTGAAGAGCAGCGGCTGGTCGAACTCCCAGCGCGCGCCCTTGCCGCTCAGCTCGATGTTGCGCCGCGTCTCCTTGTACAGCTCGTGCCACGTCTCCATTATCTTCTGGCCAGTGCGCGCCAGCGAGAGCACCTCCTCGTTGCTTTTCCTGTAACACCAGTCAAACAAGTCAAACCTCTTATTTTTTAAAGAAAAGATGACGGATTTGTAACACCTTCTAGAGTATGCTGAAATAATAGTTGCTATTTCTGTCGATTTAATAAGTAATTATCTTATACAAAAAAATAACAAAAAGATTTTTTTCTAATCTTACATTTTACTAGTAGTAATAATGGGAAAGTTTAAATGGATATTTGTAGGATCTCTATGAAATTTGGCATAAATGTAGAGGCCACTTAATTTTTTTTTATTTCCACGCCGACGAAATCAAGGGCGAAATTTAGTATGTAAACGAATAAATAATACGTACTCAAATAACTTATGTACGTTGAGGAATCTCTCCAGCTTATTACTGAGTCCCCAAGAGACCCTCAACATGAGAGGCACCATGGTCTCGTCGGTGCGGTATCCCTTTGATAGCACCCACACCATAAAGATGCTCTCCATCAGCTCCGGCATCACCTCGATCACTTGCTTCAGTGGAGAATCGTCCTCTATTATCTGACCAAGGAATAACAGTGGCTCATACAGTATTCATCATCACCCTCATCAACTTGCCCTTATCCCTTATGGAAGGTCGGCACAGTATATGCTGCTCTTCTATACATTTCTATCAGCCGTCATATGGATCCACTTCTTTCTTAGCATATCCTCTTTCACACAGTCCATCCATACTTTCTTCGGTCTTCCTCTTCCTTTGTAGGCTTTGTATTCATCATTAGCCTGTATTCTGGTTGATAAAAAATAAAATAAAACTTACATTAAAGAACCGCAGCAACGTTGAGAGGAATTTCAAATTATCGCCGGCCAGGTTATATTGTTCTAGAAGTCTCTCTTTGTAGTTAGTGAAACTCTGCAAAACAAAAAAGGGCACAAGACGTTCCACTGTTTGTTTTACGCGAATGTTTCAGAACTAGTTATTTGGCTTTATAACTCTGTGGTCATAGATCAGACTACGATAAGTACATTTTTGCTCAGTATGACTTATTAATATATGTATAATTTAATGATTTAAAAAAGATTTATTTATAAAGTTACAAATTAGTTTTGACAAAATAGTGGTCGTGCGCCTGGTTTCTACATTAGGGACTATGCCCGTCTTGTAAGCCAAATTGCTCTTGAAATTGCAAAAAATGCTCTTTCATTGGGTAATATCAAAATAACATGTAAATTATATGATTTCTTTTCAATCAATTGTTTTAAATATATTAGTGCCTTCAAGAATTCTTAAAAAAAAGCTTGTCCTGTAAAGTAATTAAATTGCATTTATCATATGACTTATGGTCACAGAACTATAAAATAACAATGTACCTCAAAGTACGGCGACTTGACTTGCTCAATAAGGGAGAGTATCTTGACGACAGTGGGCTGCTTGAGCTGCTCCACCAGCAGGGACAGTTCAGCGTCTCGCTCACGCCAGTACTTGTACTCCGCCACTGGCCCCTTGCCCTCGCGAGTCTATTAATTCCGCGTAATGGTACATTAAAAATAGTTAACAGATATAAGCAATAAAGAATATTAAGATACATTCGGGAATCGCCCGTTTTAATTCAAAACTTTTCTTTTATTTACTATATTAGCTGTTGTTCGAGATTTCGTCGGCGTGAAATTAAAAAAAAAAACAATAAAATCCTATGTTACTCACTATATAATGTAGCTTTTTTTATAGTGTAAGAGTTTTTGAAATTGGCTCAGTAGTTTTTGAGTTATTTCAATACATATAAAAATATAAATCTTCCCTCTTTATAATATTAGTACAGACTACTAATACCAAGGAAACAGTGGCTTTTGCCTTTAGTGCCGGTAACACATTCACTGCGACCGCACTGCGAGGTCACTTTGAAAATTGCATTAGCATTGAAAGTGTTAAACCATTACAGTAGCTGTACTGTTACTAACTTTTCCCAAGCACGCAGCGATGGTGTTATCGATATGCGTCTGCCACATGTCCACTGCCTCCTCCAGCTGCGCCACCAGCTTGGGGTCCATGACGCGCACCTCCGACCGCTCCTCGTCCAAGAGAGGTATAGTTGGCATCGGCAGCTGGATCTCACCCTCGATGTGCTGAATGGTCCTGAAGTAAATACTTACTAAGACCCCTCATTATTCGTATATTCCAAAGAATTACATTTTTTTATTCATTACTAGCTTTCGCCCGCGACTCTGTCCGCGTGGTATTAAAAAAACAAAAATGAGTAGTGTGTTCTTCAAGACCATCCTCTACATCTATGCCAAATTTCATCGAAAGTATAGATGAAGATTTTGGGATCGCTGGTAGATTTGCTTTACGCACCTAGAGGTACTTAAAGTAAACCAAATTTAAAATTAACGGGTTCCTAAAATACTTGAAATACTGAAATTTTCACATTACCAGAAATTCTGCTTATGATTAGAATTAAATTTCTTGGTATAAAGTGTACCTTCAAACTTTTTAGATACACTATATTCAAAAACAAAGCAGTACGCAATACGCAATATACGGGCTATTCGTGGAGTTTTGAGAATTGAGCCCTTACAACTAAGCTGTTGTACAAGTAGGTACATACTAGGAACCATAAATTTAACAGTGGTAGAGCCCGCTTTAACATCTTCGCATGAATGGGCCGGTTTGCCCCCAGTAATACCACACAGAAAACAGGCGTGAAGTGGAAGCAATTTCGCGTTGCGTCTGATGGTGCCGGAGGCCTAATTTTAGTCCCTTTCCCTTTCCACCCTTTTCTTGAGAGGAAATGATGGGAAGGAAAAGTGGATTTGACGGTGGAGGAGACGCATAGGAAGGGAAAATGTCCTCTTTATGTGCGTCTCCTCCTCCGACAATTACGGGTAGGCAACGCTTCTGCAATTGCAGATGTTTATGGGCAGCGGTCGCTTTCCATTTCGGTGGATTCAGGTGGCCGCTTGCTCGATTGCACCTTATGTTATAAACAAATCATATATTGGTAAAGAAAAATATAATACCAATCGACAATAGCCACAAGTTCTTGTATGTCTGTGATGACTTCTTCCGCCGTAGACTTCTGTTTATCTTGCTCTTCGCCCATGTACTCTATTTCCGCATCCGACTCCTGTTTATTTGATTAAACAATTGGACTTTTTTATATTATGTTACTTTGGCCCAATTCGTACGGATGGTAGGCAACCACTGTACTAAATATTGAATACTAGCTGTTCCCGTGCGGCTTCATCCGCATGAAATTATAAAAAAAATTATTGCTTACATTTGTCAATTTGTCAATTTCTCAATTGCAAATGTCAAAATTACCGTTACTATAATAACTTTGCTTCCTTAACGTTGGCAGGTTGTAGTTTATGGTCCCTTTCCTACATGGTTTGTTCCAATTTATTTACTCCTTAAGTTTAATAGCGTGAAAATATTTAGCTTTATTACATTAGTATAGATATACCATGTTACCAAGCTGCACTTTACTAATCCGTTGCATCGTGGAAAGAGATGTGCTGTGCATACTTTTCATTCTGAAAACAACAATATCAAACATATCATATTTAAGAAAATTTAAATAACTTTAAGCCACAGATTAAAACAAACAGTCCTATAGTTGAAATAGACTAACTATAGCTTGAAAAAACTAAATAAAAACCAACCTTCTTTCAGCATTTTCACCCCGAGCAATATTAGACATTCTGCGGTAATCCGATGGCCGTAGATAATTAACCTGAAATTATAAATCGAATTTTAAATATCAAACATAATACACGTATTTTTGCAGTGTGTATAAGAAAAATCAAATATATCGGCTACTTGGCACTTTGCAGCAAGCTAAACAAAACACAACGCATTTTGAAGTACGGTAGAGCGCAATGTTCCTGAGCCTGTAAGATAATTGAGATGGGTTATACCTGTGAGGCGGTCTCATCCATCTTGTAGTGCGCGCCGGCATAGGAGACCTGTCGCGAGAGGATGGCGTGCGAGGACTCCGCGTTCAGCAGGTTCACCTCGCGGAACTGCTTGTTGAACAGCGGGATGTACATCTGCAATATACATTAACATATTTAGATCCCATGTTTTATTTATTTTTTTTTTAAATTGCAAAAAACCAGCGCTTGACCACTATCCCACCTAGACCAAGGTGAAGATGTGGTCGAAGGATGGTACGCGCTAGTTTAGCAAGTACCGATTCACCCTGCTTTTATAAAATATCATGTCAATATATAAATTATAAAATAAATATCATGTTAAATAGAAAAATAAATAAAAACAGAGGAATTTCGAACTGTCATTTAATAATACTCCTGTCAGCTGTTACGCATATTTTCAGCAAATTTGAAAATTGTAAGATAAAGTAAAGTGCTATGTACTATCTATACCTACTAATATTATAAAGAGGAAAGTTTTTTATTTTTGTACGATAGAAACTCAAAAAAGATATGTTGTCACTGAGTAACAGGCTAGTATTTAGTTTTTTTTTCATTTCATGTATTAAAATAGCTCAAAACGTGTGGGCAAATTTAAAAAATTCTATCACTAATAAGTAGTTACGTTATCACTGAGTAATAAGCTATACTTATTAGTATTTTTATTTTTCCACGGACGAATACGCGAGTAACTAGCTGTTGTTAAATAAAGATTACAGTAAAGAGTAGACTGTAATACCTATATTTTTGTCTTTTTGACCGACTTCCCAAAAGAAGGAAGTACTCAATTCGTCTGTATGTTTTTTTATTGTTAAAAGAAATAAAAACTCACCTCCTTTAGTTGCATGCTCAAACTCATCAGAACTCTACCAGATGCACATCCGGCTATAATATATTCTGGCATTTTGAGCTTGGTGATGAGATCTGTTTCCGCCAAAGGTATTGCTTCAGGTCCATGGCGAAGAAAGTAAAAGTAGCGACGGTTACGATTTGCCAACTTCGGGTCTAAAGCTCCAAAGATCGGTATGAGTTTTGGATATTTGATTATCCGTGGAACAGGCCTCTGAAAATTTAAAAATAATCTTATCCTTAGAGATCTTACTAATATTATAAACGCGAAAGTTTAGATGGATAGATGTTTGTTACAATTTGTCTAAACGTCTGAATGGATCTGTATGAAATTTGACATTGATGTCATAGTCTGGAAGAACAAATAGGCTTTTTACTTTTGTTTTTTTTTTAAATTCCACGCGGCCAGAGTCGCAGGAGAAAATTAAATATTCAACTACTTACTACAACAGTGTAGAATTCAACGGTCCCATCTACATACGGATCGAGGTCTTCTGGCGCTGTAATACGCAATATTTATTTATTTATTTACTTTATTTTTTTTAATGTATGGTTAACACGATCTACAGAACAATTTTTTATGTGTATGACATACGGTATAAGTTTGTATTGTAATGGAATACAACGAATTAAAGATAATGCCTAATTTAGCCCTTTAATACCTGAAGTTTCAAATTTCATAACGGGTTATAAATCGATTGTACACGAATCGATTTTATTTTTATATTAAGCTGTTCACATGTGACTGATAACCTTCAAGTTAGAAAAAAAGAAACGTATAACGAAAATCTATAAAAACATCGTTTTGATTTTTCCACGTTTCTCCTTTAATAAAATACAAAGTATAGGGTACACTTATATATTTTGTAACTCAATTAAAAAAAGTTAGGTTTAATTTTAAATGCCAACCTTTCGTCTGATCTCAATATAGTCTTATTATTTTTAATATTTTTAAGAAAAGAAAAAAAAAATGTTTATGATGCGAAAGACTTACGTGGCGGAAAAGCATACATATCCTCTGCAGGTTGTGTCTCCTCTGTAGCGCCTCGCAGGTCTATGGACGTCTTGGTCTCATCCTCGCCTTCCGCGACTTCAGTTAGAGCAGCCGCTGTTTCTATCTCCGGTGCATCTCCTACATAGATAAAAAGCCAAGATTTCAATACGTAATTACAATACAACTATAAGGGATGGTGATGGCAGTAAATAAAACACAGAATTTCACAAATGGGTGCGCACCACCCTCTTTGCAACCCCACTCAAAATTCACTCTGTTTTTTTATTTTTTTTTAAAGTTTTTTTAAGCTAGCGCTTGACCACGATCCCAACGACTGAGAGTGAAGGTCGAAAGATGGTATTTTTGTCTCTTAAAATTTCTAACAGTTTTTACATCAACCGTGGCAGAACTTAGTAGTTTATAGATAATATATCACAATTGTAGAATACAACACAAGAGAAAAATTAAATAAAAATACAAACAGAACAAGTTCAATATTAGCGGTTACTATAAAATATTAAAAAGTATTTTAAAAATACATTTTCAATTTGCAAATTTTTAAACCCTTACTGCATGGAATGTGTTAATAAAAGTGAATTCAAGAGAAAAAGTGAATAGACAAGGTTCATATTATTATTATTATTATTATTATTATATAACCAAGCCTTAATTGGTTAAGTTTTTGACATTACCTTCAGCATCTGGTTCTTCCTCTGAAATGAAAAGATCAAATCAATTTTTTTTCTTAAAATATTTATTGTATAGTCATTAGTAAATGATAAAAATTAGAAAACATAATGTTTGTCTGTCTCTAAGTCTGAAGTAAGAAGAATTGAAATTTAATCCCATGCATATTTTTTAAACAAATGTCTATTTAAAATCATCATAATCATCTCCCCTGCCTTATCCTACTCCCGTAGGGTCGGCGCACCGGGTTTTCGTCCTCCAAAGCATTCTATCATCCGTCATCTCAGTCATCACTCCCTTCTTGATCATGTCTATTTAAAATGTATTATGTATATCAAATAGGGTTATCAAAAAATATTTAATATACTTTTTAACATTTTATTACCTTTAGATTTAACTTTAGGAGGTTTAGCAGCCTTTCCTTTCTTTGCAGGCTTTGCCGGTTCAGCCTCTGCTGGCTCCCCCTTTCCTTTTTTACCCTTCTTTTTCTTCTGGACCGGTGGAGGCATAAATGGTGGCGGTGGTACTATTCCTAAAGAGAAACATTAAAAGATACCCGGTCATTATACATTTACTGCAATTAATGACTAAAAATATAGTTATATGATTTATATTTTTAATAAGAAAATGTGTCACTAAATTTGCATAGTATTAACTAAACTTCTTAGTTTTCTATAATTTAAATTTATTATTTAGAAATAATATTTATAAACATATGTAAAAAAACTTACTCCACTCAGTAAATTCTTTATCCTCATGAATAAGTTTATCAACAATGATCTTGCAGATATAGAATGTCTTTTTCTCCAATGCCAATTCAGTAGGAGCCATAGGTGTTGTAATAAATTTAGTGAAATTCATCCTAACTTCATCATCTTCAAACATATTGTAGAATAATTCTTCATCATCCATCCCGATGAGTGCAAGGATCCTACCTTTGAACCATTGCACCCTCGGGTCTCTATGGAGATCCATTTCAACCTCAACATTTTCAAGAGATTGGGTGGTGCTACCCTCTATCAAATTCTGCGACATCTAAACACGATATTAGTAACAAGGTTTACTAAAACACAAAAATGTTGTTCACAGATTTTTTTAGAAATACAAGTTAAAATATTCAACAATCATTTTATTGAATAAACCACCATACTTTTTTGTATAATTTGGGAAATAAATACAGTAGTCCTATTACATTTATATGAATGTAACTGCTACAGACTGCTAGAAGAAATAATAAAATTCATAGAATATTTGGTGAATCTTAAAGCAATTACGAATGTCACTCAACAGTATATACATAAAGAGAAGAATCGACTTTATCTAAATACATATTAAACAACTTATCTGTTGGTGTACTTTATAAATAAATAAACTTATGAACAGTTTAATTGATAGATGTTTCCAAATTCATATTTTGCAAATGTTTCTCATAATTGTATGTATTTAGAACAAATACTTACATTTTACATAGACATCGATCCCCAGAACAGGTTTCTAGGGATTGTTTACAAACAAAAGAATAACAATTCATGTTGCCGGTTGCTGCCATAGCAACGAAGATTTCTCTGCCAATGGAATGTAATGACATTTTTGACAATGGTCAAAGTAATGTTTGACATTGACGTTTCTTTTATCATATAGACCTACAAACATCATTTGGCAGTTGGTATATTTGTAAACTAACAATGTAATCTTTTAATATGGAAATTTCAGAAAAAGTAGGACCTGTTGTATAACACGTAGTTTTATTTGCTGATTAACAGACAGGACAGGACAGGCGTGAAATGGAAGCAATTCCGTGTTTCGTCTGATGAGTGTGGTGCCGGAGGCCTAATTTAACTCCCTTTTTCTTTACCACCCTTTTCTTATAAGGAGAGGATGAGAACGGGAAGTGGATTTGACGGTAGAGGAGATGCATAGGACGGGGAAATTTCCTTTTTATGTGTGTCACCTCCTGCGTCGGATAAAGGTAGGCAACGCATCTGCAATTGCGGATGTCTATGGGCAGCGATCGCTTCGCCATTTTGGCGAATTCAGGTGGGAGAATTTCGAAAGAAGTTAAGATTTTCTTACTTACCGATAACTCTAAAACTAGCAGGCGCCCCCCTGTCACTGACAAAAAAGTGCCATAAGATCCTTGTAGGTCTATACTTCTTTCACCTGTAAATTTATAATATGGTCTACTAAAAATACATTGAAAATCAAATGAATAAAAATGATGCATTTGATTGAACTTAACAATCCAACCCGATTCTTAATTAATTATTAACGCGTTGTATAGTATAGATAATAATTGCTTTAACAATTGGAGTAATTGGATAAGCCTTATGTCCGACAGTGGGCAGACTAAGGTCTGCTGGTGAAAATGTGGTGAAAATCTGTGAAGGCTGATGATGTTGAAACGGAGTAATTGAATCTTCATTTACTGGTGTTGGAAGACTCAGAAAACTAAAAAGGAGAAATTAGTGGTAAAAAAAAAGAAAAACGCATTTTTATTATATAATTTAATATCTAAGTCAATTTTGGTCAACATTTTAAAGCTAGTTTTGATTAAGTAATTATTTACATTTTAAGACTATCAAGTTCTTTATTGGGTAACACCATTATAATATCGTTTACGTTTAGGTTTAAGTTTGATTGAATTGTTTATTTAAAAGTAAACTGTCGCGCAGGTCGTTCCTTGAAATACCCACTAAAGTTATTATTTTCCTCTATATCTTCTATTCTAGAATTAAAGGTGTTTCTTTGATTTTCTTTTGATGATATCAGGTTACCTATCAAAGACTGTGGAGCCGAATAAGAAGACGGACCATCATATAAAGTGTTAACTTCGCGTTGTTTTTGTGATGGACGAATAATATAAGCCAGGTCTCTGCTGTAAGTGTCGTCATTAACGTTGTTATTTGTTAATTCTATACGATCGTTGTTTCCTACGGGTTTTAATTCGGTAAGTTGATAACTTTCTGCTTCGTTTTTATAAGATATTTTTTCTTTTTCATTTTCCGATGGAATAAAGTGAAAAGTTATAAGATCAGGATAGTTAATCGGAAATTGTTGCATGTTTTTATTTGCTGCTTGACCGTTTGAAACAGAACCATCGTCAATATTGGAATATAAATAGTAAGATTGATCTTTTTTATATGTTACAAATTTATTTTTATCTGTTGGATGTGGTACTGATCCGACAATTTTATCTTGTAGCTGTGCTGTTATACCGGTTCCTGTGCTAAGAATATTGTTCTCTTGAGTTTTCAGTTGTGTTTTTTCAGAATTGGATATATCTAATCTAAGAGGCGAATTCATGGTACCTTGGTTTTTAAAAATATTATTATTAATATTTTTCGATTTATCAATGTTTTTAGTGATACTATTTTTAGGTACTACAATACGTTGCGATTTGACTTCGTCTATGTCAGATTGAATTAAAATATTCGAATTTGCTGGATTTGGAGCATTAATAATTTGACGAGTCACTTCTGGCACAGGGTATTTGTATAACTGTCCACTGTATATTGGTGTTTTGGTGTTTGCATTCGATTGCTTGTTATTTGCTTTGGAACGCACTTTGTCATTTTGTGTTAGTGCGGCTGGCTTTTGTGTGTATTTTGGAATAGATAGATTTTCTTGGTATATATTCGAATTTTCATTCCTATTCGATACAAACTGACTTTTTGCACCTATTGATGTAATGTCTTGATTACTGAGAGTGTTAGTCTTGAAATTGTTTGTGAATTGAGAAGCTGTCAGTTGAGAAATGGTTTCTGATATGCGTCCTAATTCCTCGTTATTCACAGCTTGGAATTGCGGCGGTGGTGATGTGAGTGATTGCACATTGTCTTGTATTATATTGTTATATTTCTTTGCTTTGTTGATGGAGTCTGTCAGCAGTGAGAATACCAGAGCCTGTGAAGCAGAATTATTGAAATTTTCATTCCAAGTTAATTTTCCTATGGGAGTAAAATTAGTACTAGTACTATCGTTATCTGTGTTTCTTAATACTAAATAATTACTATTATCTGTATTTAATATTTCTAACTCGTCATCCTTAGATGTTTTAAAAAGGATATTGGCAATACTTTCAGGAATGGTAATTTTTATGGTAACCGTTCGTTCTATTGTTGGCAATACCGTTTCTTTTATAAAAGGTAACATAGCATATTTATTACTAGTGCCATAATTGACGAAACTTTTAGTCGGTGGCTCTAGTTTGTTTGATGGGACAGCCACTAATTTTATAGGCTTAGGCAATGTGCCAGGACGTTCAGTTAATTCTTCTTTATCCTCTAAGTTAGATTCAGAAGGTAAACTATTCGAAACTATGGAATTAAGTTTTTGGTAATATTGACCAAAATTTTCATGCGATTCAGCTCCGCCAGCTTCATCGGTTTCATTAACAATTTCGTTTACGGTAATGTCAAGCTTTTCTTTCGACAAAAACTCAGAAAAAGAAAGATTTTTATGATTTGCATTATTATTCGACATTCGACTAGTATGCAAGGGGTTTTTGATTCTACTTGACGTGACATAGTCAGATATTGGTTTACTTTGGGAGGCAAGTGATTGAGCATTTTGATATCGTGAAAGTTGTCTTAAAGAAGATTTTGGACTGAAGTATTGAGATGTCTGCCCGGAAGCCAAATCTCCAGGCGGCAAATACTGCCTTGCTGAAGGATTCTGACTTTCTGGTGCGAGGTACAGACGAGATACTTGAGTCGGTGAAATAGTTGTGGTTGTTAATATTTTGTCAATTGAAGGGCGTAAAGTTGTGGCGGATACATATAAGGGTGAAACCTCTTCTTCGGTGGGCGAGGCTCCAACTGTGGGTTCTGTAGGTTTATCATAATTGTAACCTCTAGTTTCTGGTTCTGGAGTATTTTCAAGTGATACTGATTCTGATGGTTTATTATAAATGTATGGACCTTCAAGTTCTAATTCTTCTTTTACAGAATTAGTTGGTTCATTATAAGTGTAAGGTGTTGGATTTGCGATTAACTTGGCGTTTTTAGTTGGTTTTAACACCCATGTCTTAAAAGTTATTCTGGCTTTAGGTTGACTTTCTTTCGGTTCTTGGACGAGTCTACTATAAGTTAAGGTTTTTGTTAATATGGTAGGAGGTACAATATCACTACTTACGAAGCTCTGCTTCAATTTTTCACTTGTTTGAGTCTGGTTAATTTTTGTGGATGGTTGTCTTGCTGTTTCATAAGTGTATTGTTGTTTGATTAAATTTGGAACAGGTGCCACGATATTACCAATGTTATTGATTTTTGCTGTATTGCTAAGTTGCTGGGCATTATTTCCAAATGTTCGTGTAACTTGTAACGTGTTGCTATTTTTTGATTTTAATGACTTAAATTCAGTATTAAATTGAGAACGTTGGGTATTTCTAAAAGTGTCATATCTTTGAAGTTGGCGATTTGTTTTGTCATTGTTAAAATTATTCATAGTTTGAGAATATGTGGTCTGTGTCTGTAATTGTCCCGCATGACCATTCGATATAATCTGTTCACTGGAATTACTTTGAGAATTTGTGTTTTGTTTGTTTCCAGAGTTTAGTACTTGACGCTGTAAAATTTCAACATTTCTTACAGTGGTTGGTGATGAAGTACTAAAAGTGGGAGGAATGTATTGTGGATTAACGGTTGAGGCAGCAAATGATTCTGAAGGTGGCCTGTATTCATTCTGTCGTAAAGCTATCTGGATTGCCTTAGTTGGAATATAAATATGACTTGGCACTCTCTCAGGAGGTGCAAGCAAGGCGCCATTTGGGAATAATTGTCCTGAAGGTGGTTTGTAGCTTTGCATCACTAATAATTTGCTTTTCATTGTATTCGTGTTGAAAGGATTTCGAACAGGATGTGTTAATATATTCTTTATGTCCTTCATTAGTTGTGGTCCTAATTTTAGATTCTCAAATTGGTCGTTTTTGTTCCTAAGTACTTCCTCGGAGTTTTTGCAGTTAACGTTCATCCACCAGTCGCATACAAAAACAGCTTGATTGAATAAAGTGCCGTTTGGACACAGGAATGATTGAAAGCCATAAGTAGCTCCAACTGTGCAAACTCTGAAGACTTGACAATTTGTGTCCGTGTCTGCATAATATCCTGTAAATGAATAAAAGTACTTTAAACGATATTAAAAATATCGCAATACAAAATGGATCGTGGCCCTAAAAGGCTCGTTCGTGAGATGACTATGAAAACCATGTACAATAACATGATACTCGTGGCAATTAACTACCCTCATCCATTCAAGTCTCAACCATTTCACGTGTACCTTTGTTAATTAACTGCAAAGATAGGGTTTGTTAATTTGACGTAGAAAACTTTTTCGTGAATTATTATTCAAAGACAAATATTAACGTTAACGTGTTGTTATAATACTTATTAAAGTAATATGTTTATTACCAGGTTCCCTGCCAGCACAAGAAAAGGTGGTGCGTGGTATGCTAGCTAATGTAGGGTAGTCGTTGCCAGGTTGGCCGGGCACTGCAAGCCTGATGTCCCAGCCATGGTTGTTGCTGTGTGGTGCTTGCAGTATCCTGCCGTTCTGAGCGTTACTAGTACAGATAAAGGCCACTGAAAATAAAAGATTAGAAATAAAAATACAAAATAATTTGTATTGAACATTTCTCATGAGTAATTCATAATTCAGACCGTTGTCACAACTGTGTCGCAAACGTATTGTACCAATAGTGAAGACAGTTCACATAGTTTTGTCGTGTTGACATTAAAGGAACTATTGAAAAAAACGTCTAAATGAACTGCAAAGTGCGTACCCCAACTCACACGTTTACTTATGTTGGACTCTAAATTGGTAGTAGCGTTTTTTACTATTCTTATTCTGTCATTCTTGGGTAATTGTGGTAAAAAGGTAATTTACTATGTAGAATAACTAGATCAATTTGATACTCTAATAGTAGTTGTTAGATAATATAGCTACTTATTAATACAGACGTATATATTGAATTCGTTTTACTAACTTAAATACATTAAATAACACATTCTATTAAAACATTTATTTGGATAATAAAAGTATAGAATAAAAGTGTACTTCGGCGACGCTATTTTTGTTACATAAACCTAAACCTACCTATTTTTGTTACATAAACATAAACCTTCCTCCGAAAAATAATCGAAATAAAATTTGTGACAGTAATCCAAATTGGTATGAAATACAACAACAAAAATCTAAATTCCCTTATTGACAAAAGCCAGAAGCGTTTTATCATAAATATTCGGATTGCTCCGAATATCACGATATGCCTAATTGTAATCGAGTTATCGTCGAGCGGTAACTTTCATGTTGACATTGATAGATAGCTCTCGCCAACGTATACTGGTACATCTATACCAAGCTCCAATATTGAATTTAGGCCGCGGTGCTTTTATTGATATCAAATTGATTGGCTTTGTTTCAGATATACAATCAGATTGCTTTTACGAAATGGCTGATAATATGATATAAAAGCTCTGTAAGATGTGATATAAAGAAACTGCTTAGGATGATTTCAATTGTAGTGTTCCCGATTTATTTTTTTGACCGACTTCCCAAAAGACGGAGGTACTCAATTCGTCTTTTTAATTTTTTTTTTATTTTTTAACTTTCTAAACATGTGCGACATTCTTCTTAACATGCCATCATTTTTTCAAAATCGGCTAGCATTAGGGTTATTTGAAACTGCGCCTGTACATTTTCCTTTTCAAGTACAGTTAAAGATTGACTAATTTAAACATTTCAGCAATTTGGTAATATAACTATTATAGTTATCAATAGTAATACAAATATGTACAATAAAATAAAAAGGCAACAAGATTAACATGTTTTATGTTTTGGTGTGTATATACGCAATATATATGATGATAATTATTCAGGGTACATTCTCCGCGGGGCTCGTTTTTATTGCGTCACTATTAAGATAACTGAGACTCGAGTGAGATTACAGTCGCCCACGCGAGACAAAGGGAAGCTTTTCCCTCTCAGTTGAATGTGCTCGCCTAAACGATATTACTTCCGAATACAAAACAGAAATGCTCGAATCATCTTTGTTGATTATTAAATAATAGAGAGAAACTGCAGATATTGCTTAAAACTTACAGATTAACTTAGAATCTACGTATATATGGTTACAAATAGATATTTCATGGTTTTTTATGAATGCATTATGATTATAAAAACTATTTTGAATCGAACGTTATTGTATAGTGCAATATTGACTTATAGAGTGAATTAGAGGAAGTTTGAGATTAGCCACAGTGGTTGAGAAATTAAGGAGTAAAAGGTTAGCATGGTATTGGTATGTTATGAGGAGGGATGAATTGCATGTAACAAGAAGGACGTTAGTTATGAATGTGATGGGATACACTGGTAGAGGTAGACCAAGAAAGAGATGAATTGCGTGAATGGTAATATAATCAAGAAGGGAGTGATGACTGAGAAGACGTATAGTAGAGGTATGTTGAGAACGAAAACCCGGTGCGCCGATACTTCGGGAGTAGGATAAGGTAGGGGAGATGTTAAAGTGGAGAGTGATTTGATTTGTAAATCAATTTAACCGCTTTCGTAACTGTCCTCTAATCCCATACTTCATCTTATATCTTACGTCAAATGTTATTATAACCCCCACAATATTCACCGTTACGAAGCTATGACGCCTAGTTGTAATTGAATATTATACGACACGAGTACGTCGCGGATAAGTTACGACGTTATTAAATATCCAATATCTGAGATAATGCGCATCATTTAGTCGTTAATAACTCACCGAACATCGCATATCCTACGCCCTTGTACATAAATAGAACACGGCTATGTAATTTCGCACGTGATAAAATGGCGATGGGATTTTCTAAACGATTCTTTTTGGATTGGTTAGGTTAGTTTTCTTTTTTATTAGTCGGTGTTGAGGTTGTTCGGTAGATCAAAGTTTTACAAGCGAATTGCGACCCGCTTTGACGCTAGCCACGAGATGGGATCGACATCTCTGATTGAATTTGATCAGCGTTCATCGGTTTACTATATTCGTACAATCATAACAATGAATATTGAATTTTATCTATTGTATTGTAATAACTAATTGTTTCTTAACTCTAATATTAACAAAGCTAGAATTATTTAGAGTGATCTGTAAACTACATTAAAGATAACTGATCTTGATGTTAATTTGGTTTTAAAATTACGAATTTGATAAGTAAAATGATGCAATTGTTTTTTACAAGTTCAAATATGAAATTAGTTACCTAAAAATAGTGTCAAGCCAAAATCAATCATAATCAATTTAAAATTGATTAAAGATTGATTTCATTAGTGTTCGAAAGCTGCAAGTGAAAACTTAAACTAAACTAAGTTAGTAAGAACTAACTTTACAGTGAATTCAATTTTATAGTGAAAACTTGTTAATGCCATTTCCACTAATTTAAAGTTTAAATTAAAAATTACGCTTTAAAATATTAAATTTAATCAATTAAAAACTAAAAGAAAATAAGGAAATTGCTCGGAAAATACAATCCACGTTACCAATATTCAATACATAAAAATCGCTATTATTATTACAGTTTGAGGTATCAAGATTAAAATATGTTGTATATATTTGTGTGTAGGAAATAATGAAAACAAAATTTGGCAAAGTGGCAGTTATTTACCACCTACGCCCACGATATTAGTCCCATAAAAACCCCCCTAAGATTAAAAAAAAACAGACTGGCTCCTCTTTGAGAAACGATAAACGTACTGCGCCCTTAAGACTGCACTTTGGCGCCCTCCATCGTCCGTAGCCTGGCTCCTTGCTTCCCTTGCATACTCGATCTTTGATCACAAATGACATGTATATTTTCTCTGAGATAATCTACGCACTATGATATAGCGTATTGAGTTTGAGATTTTTTGTAATAACAGGGCAATGAAATAGAAGCTGAGAAGATTTTTTTTCTTATTACAAGCCATTGAACCGAAGACCATTGTTCGTTATTCCAACTTCTTGATACTTGGGTTTTAAAAAGTCAATGTTTTTGTGGCCTTTGTTTCCATTATTTGTATTTGTACATAGTTAGGAACTTTCCTTCCATGTAAGGAAATTACTATAATTTGTTATACGTATAAGAAAAAACGTAGGAAGTTTTAGCATTAATCCATTTATCTCCTTAGTATCTAGCATATCTGTCTTGCTCTTCGGTACTTTTTAACCGACTTCCCAAAAGAAGGAGGTGCTCAATTCATCTGTATGTTTTTTTATGATATCGTTAGCGAATTCGATAGAATCGGTTAAGAATAGGGGTAACTCAACGTGATTCAAAGGTATTAAACAAAACTAAAGAGATTAATTTATGTTCCTATTTTATTTTTATAGTACAGAACATAAAGTCGTGTTTTCGAAATCTATCACATTGTCTATGGTACAAGCAGAACAGTATGGCTAACAATAACTTTCAAAGCTTCGGTAATATCTTAAAATGAGTTTATTTAAAAAAATGATTTAAAAATATTCAAATAACTTACCGAATAAATATAAACTCTTCATTTCAGGTCCTCTCATGACCACTTTTTATTTAAAAAAGTTCGATAAATACATCAAAAGCTGATTACTTAATATCAACACAAAACTTTACAATGAAATACCATAAGCTCGAATCCTTTGAAGTAAATGTAAGAGAACAAAATGAATTAAAAGCCTTTATGCTGAATACTACTGAGAATTATTCCCCGCGGCAACTGTAATTCAAATGGTGGTCCCGTCAAAGAAATGCTGTATAAGCCGACGCCCTTCCAAAGCGTTCGTTTGTAAGAAAAATGGTAATAAAATCCCATTCACATTTCGCCGAGTGTTTTCGTAGACGTGTGGTTAATGTGGTTTTAATTCCCGTTCGTTGTATATTTTATAAAATCTTTCCGAAAATTCCATTCAAAAGGTAGAACGGCTTTAGATATTTTAAATGGTTTTATCCTCGAATATTCTGTCATTTTCGTTACAAGATTTGATGAGCGATAAATCGTGCATCTCAGGATTTAATAAAGGGATGGATTTTATTTATCCATTCGCGAATAAGATTAAAACATAATCATATCTTTCCTTCTATTGTTGTCAGTTGAACGGTTGACAGTTAAAAATTTTGCAAGCAGTTGGACTCTTAATTTAAAAAGGTCAGTTAGAACTGAACGTCTGTATCGGACATAAAAAAATTTTCTTAAAGCAATAAAAACTATCTGCACCTTCTTTAAAATATTAGCATTCACATTATTTACTAGCGATTGCCAACATTGCCTGTACTTTTTCTAAAGTGATTGTTTTAACTACATTTTCTATTATAAGTAGGTTGTGAAACCATCCTTCGGACTATTTTTTTCTTGTTATTAAAAACAATTGACGTTAGGCAAAATTTAAATAGCGATTTGTAAATACAGTGATTAAATAAGTATGTGTAACTTCTATCAAATTCCCTTAATAGCGTCATGCGAATTGAGGTAAGAAAATCCATTGTTAGCGTCGACAGCTGTTGCAGTTAACCCACCTATAGTAATTACATTAGAAATACATTACACGTAATAAGTCTGGGATTATGCAATCCAATACATAGTGGGTATTGGATATTCGGTAACATTTTTTAAACACAACCATCGATCCTTGTCCACTGTAAAATCCTAAACAATTACTTACGTCTATTCAGTGCAAGTGTTAGGCTTGGTCGTCGTTGAGCGACCGCCCAGGGCGCCTGACAATAGGAGAACCACAAGTATACGAATACTCTAACAACTTTTTTACTCTAGACATGACAAGAAAACCGTAGAAATATCGCCCAGGCTGCTATTAGAGCTTGAACCGACACGTGTTTTTTCATATTTTACGCAAAAAAAGATGGATGTTTGTTAGAGTTAGTAGTTTAAACGGCTGAAGGGATCTCGAATAAATTTGGCATAGATGTAGAGTATAGTCTGTAAGAACATATATGCTACTTACTAAGTTTTTTTTTTAATTTCGCGCCGATAGAGTTGCTTTTGAAAGCTAGTAAATATTTTAAAAGTCATAAGGCTATTAAACTTCTATTTATAAATCCTCCTATACTCAGTTTCGAAAAAATAAATCTGCATTAATGACACGAATCAACTTTTCTAATTAAATACTATACATACAAAGACATTTTTATATATCCGGCACTACAGGTTAACTGGAAAAAATAACATATTCGTCTAGAACATAGTAACTGAATATCAAATGCCGTTTGTTACAACAGCGATAAGCGGTTATGACTGTTTGTACTGTGATTAACACAGTATTATTGTTATCATTCTGCAAGGTATAACGGAATTAACATAATGTTTAATTTATAACGACTGTTGCTAAATTACTAGTGATTAAAATCAGGCAAACATATGTAAACACACATGTTATCCAGGTTTTTTATTTTTTAAATAATAACGATGAAAGATATGTGAAAAAGCACATACTGTTCTGACTTTACATACAGACACATTAGAGTGCTATGCATGAAAATTTGTATGAATTTAAAAAAGATGTTCCGTGGTTTATAATTTTTGTAATCTGTAGATCCGAATCACGCCATATCTGTACATTTATCCAACATTCTTACGGTGAGGGAAAACATCTCGATGGCCTAATTACTCTAACTTAGGATAGGCTCCGAGCACCTCAGTGATAAAAAAATAAAAGATAAATTGTTATTAGGCGTTGTTGTTATTTACAGCATACGCCTTATTTAAGAAGTTTTCCATTTAATTCTCATCGACAGGAAAATCGTCTTGGTATTTACAGTTTCGAACAGAGTTGAGTATTTAGTTAACTTTGAGGCACGTTGTGAAGTGGCCCCGATAGTCGGCGCCGGTTGCGTGCTATGGTCGCTTCACATTCTGGATTCAGTGAATACTGAATATTGCCGGGCGTGCCGGGAATATTAATTACGTCGGCACACAGAGTTCGTACCGCCCCCTCTGCTCTGTCCTAGCTTGTGTACCCGCTATCGTCTTGTCTAGACATGTTCATTATCACTGGATACAGCGAATAAATGAAATCATGCAAATTGAACATTTTGAACAAATACTGTAACTGTATGTTTGTTTTGTTATTTGTGCTGCAATAAACTGATAATATGGAGGTTAAATAAGTCGTTTCGTAACAGATTAAAATCTAGATTTTTTTGTCGTGCGAATGGATAAGATACGAAATGAGTATATTAGAGGAAGTTTGAGAGTAGCCCCCGTAGTAGAGAAGGTAAGGAGTAAAAGGTTAACATGGTATGGGCATGTTATGAGAAGGGATGAATCGCATGTTACAAGGAGAAAGTTAGTTATGAGTGTGGAAGGGTACATCGGTAGAGGTAGACCTAGAAAGAGATGGATGGATTGTGTAAAAGGTGTCATGATCAAGAAGGGAGTAATGACTGAGATGACGTATGATAGAGTTAAGTGGAGGACAAAAACCTGTTGCACCGAGGAGATGATGATGATGATTTTTTTGGCGTGCGATTTAAGCAGAGGAGATTTATAGAAGTATAATTTTCTGTACATCATTTAGCCTTTTTTATAAGCAATCTACAGAATAGAGGGTTTTTATTACGTTGATAATTTTAATTGAAGGTTTTCATTGCGCGCTCGTTGCGCGTTTTCAATTTAGCACAGAGCGACAAACCTCGCACTGAGCTAAATTGATTAATTCACCTAAACTAATATAGTACCAACTGTTGCCAATTTACTACTAGTATCAATATAGAATAGCGCTAATATTATATAATTTAGCTTAATTATTAAGTCAAAACTCTACCAGTAATATTGAACAAACTTTAACCGTTTCTAAAGCATTCAGACATAACCTGTGTTAAAATGCATGATAATCTTATTTCTAAGAGAATCTTTGCTGAAATCTTTACTTTGAAGCTCAAAAACATTCTCTGATTGGTTTTCGCTTCAATATTGCGATAGCAAAGTTTCCCAGCAACTTTTTGATTAAGAATCCGCAGCGAAAGCAATGATTGGCTCTGTTTTGATTTGTGTATTGTATTTTTGATTACATAAAATATTATATTCAACTATTTTTAGGTAGGTGTGATGCAAAGATAGAAGATAGTGTGCTAAACTATCGCACAACTGTTTAGTCCTGCTTCGATTTCTAAGAGTTTATATGCAGGTGCCTATACTCGATACTTGTTCAGCGCATTCAACTGTTTAGTTGAATGAGCTGCGAAACAATCGACAATCACACAGTTGTGCGATAGTTGAGTTAAAGGTGTGCACCCGCTCTAAAGGGATATTTTTTCTGTAATCTTATTGGTTAAAGTCTCTAAATTGTATGCGATTGTATTTGTGACATATAGTTTGAACAGCTGAATGGTTACTGGAAAATCCCGTCTGTTCTTTCCGTTCGATGATTCATAACATATTAGTCAGTATTGGTTTTAGCGCTACTGGCCTGAACGAGAATTCTAATACCCTTTTTAGTACTTTTGAGGAGTGCCAAACAGGATAATGGGAGACAGTTACCTGACTTGTGGCGTCTACTTCTGTGCAACGCCCTGGGCGTTCGCCCAATTGCGTCCTGTCCTAACGCTAGCCTTGATGTTACAATCACTATGGGTTATAGATAGTTATCACGTTTCAATCTCAACATTTGTAAGGTGAACAGATATTATTTCTTCATTTCACATGTGTGTTTTATTTTCGGTCTTAAACAGTTGAACTATTAATGAGGTCATTCGATACAATACTTTGGTCAAGGTTGGTCCGGCCGATGGTAACCACTTATCTAGTCCAGGGCTGTATTGTAGGTAATTTACTTAATAAGTAATACATTTTTATGGCAACCACATTTATTTTGTGCATTCATAAAAGATTTTTATAATATTTAGTAAACGAATAACTTTTTTAAACTGTAGTTTACACGATTTTGATTATTTAATCTTACTGGACATAGTATAAATAACTTTAATATAGTACAGTAAACTATAGTATACGTAACTGTAGTAAACGTGAAGTTAACGTAAGTGTAGCGTAATGTGTAGTAAACGTAATTAATTATTTTCAACAAGTGTGAAATGAAAATATTTTATTGTTCTCTTTTTATCGTTATTACAAAATTTGTGGATACAATTATATAGAAGGTTTTGTGTTATGTTTATTTAAATAATCTTTAAAGTAATAACATTATCTAAATAAATATTTTAAGAAGGAGTTAAAGCGCACCATTCAATTTCATCAGTAATTTCAAATCCTAATTTCTTATACAATTTATAAGCACTTTTATTTCCTTCTACACAGAATGCGACAACATATCTCTTTTGTTCCAACAAAATGTTTGACATTAATTTTAAAACTATTTCACCATATCCTTTTTGTCTATGCTCTTCAAGTGTGTACAAATGACCTAGAGCTCCCATTTCTTTGATGAAAACCCATGCAATTAAGTCGTTTTCTTTGAATAATCCGTATCCTAAGTTAGCTCGGGTTAGAAGATCAAAATACCAATCGGAGCCATCATATCTATGTGGCCAAGTTGAATCAACTAAATCCATGTAATCAAGTGTTAATTGTTTGAATGTAAATCCATCTGGTAACCTGAAATGCAATGAATAATTTGTACAACTGATGATTTTTTTTGTACATGAAGAACTATATCGAATTGTTAAAAAGGCATGTCCCCGAAAGTTTTCAATACCAACATTTTGAAAAACCTTGATGTTGTTATGTCTCTCATTTTGTTTGAAATAAGAACAATATGTAATCATTCTTTCCTCTAGTTAAAACTGAAACAAAAGTTGTGTGTTTAGTGAGAATTTACCTAATATCCTCAAATAATGGCGTATCTTTATCCAAAACAAATGTTTCCGTCCTCGTAATGTCGGTTTTCATCTTTTTTTCCAAATTAATTCTTCTGACGCAGTCCATAACATGTTTGGGAGCGAAGGGGATTTCAATTTGTCGTGTCCAGTCTATTAATTTGCTGGTCTTAAGTGCTTCTTCTAGTTTGCTTGTATCATCGTTTGGTGTTTGTATTACGATTTCGTTGAATGTTTTCTGTAACAAATTGTACTAACGCATAAACACTCATTTCCAACGTGACAAATAAAATGACGAGTACTACATAGGTATGTTATTAATTTGAATAAATTGTATATCCGTATTGAATTGTAAAAGTTCAAATAAAAATAACAGGAAAATATCAAAGCAACACACAAACATGAAATCAGTTTTATTTGCATTTTTTATTTATGATTTGAATGTTTTTAATAAAACTTGTTAAACCTGAGCTTTCTATTTAAATAATATATTTACAAGTCGATTAGTTTTTTATAATAACAAATAAATAGTGTTTTTACCTTACGATTAAAAGCCACCATTCCGTTTGTCGGTTCTCCGTAAGGACAATACACTTTGAATCCATAATCAATACCTTGTTGTAATATGTATTCGATATTTTCCAATATAGTAAAACCAGATATACTGCGAGGCCAGTCCGATTTAAAAACAGCTTTTAACTCTCCCCACCTTTCCACTGGCAAATAAACTAATGGATCCTCACTCATGCTCACTTTACAATTGAATAATTTATTTTTAAAATTGCGACGCGCCGTCGTCCGCTGTGGATAACAGATAACGGAACAATGCTCTTACAATTCGTTGTGCGGTCATATTATTGCAAACAATTATTGTTTATAAACGTTACCAACACTTTACTTAACGTTAAATTTCACTGACAGACGCTCATCATATTTATTTCTTTTAAGAATTATCATAAATTCACTTTAAACATTATACCTTCACATTTTAAACCAGTATTCTAGTTTATAAATATTTAATATCATATACATCAAGATTTTATTTTATTTACATTTTTTTTCTGCTTTAACTAATTTAAAATAACGACATTTTCTTTTCATTTCTGATATGTCTAGGTAAAGTATTATATAACTGTACTCCAGCAAATGTTATACTCGTAGTACTTGTGTTAACTTTTCTTTGGCTTTGACAAAACAGGGAAAATATATTTCTGTATTTTTGCTATCCCAGTGGAAACCGACGTTTAGGATTCTCGATAGTGATAAATCTGATGACCTAACCTAACATTGCTTTTTGTGTATATTATTTTGATTTACTGATTGTCGAGGTCATCAAATAAGCTTTAAAAATAGAACATTAAGTACTTGAAATTAGCGTAATTGTTTATATCTATCACTGAATTAAAAAAAATTGGGTTAGCAATTGAAATTTAAAAAAATATCTGCACGGTTGCCAACATCTTACTTCTTACTAATATTATAAATGCGAAAGTTTAGATGGATGGATGGATGTTTGTTAGAGTTTGTAGCCTAAACGGCTGAACGGATTTCGATGAAATTTGGCATAGATGTAGAGGATAGTCTGGAAGAACACATAGGCTATTCACTTTTGTTTTTTTTAATAACACGCGGACGGAGTCGCGGGCGAAAGCTAGTAATAAATAGTTATAAACGAAATCGCTTATTACAATTTCTAAAATAGTATACAATCATCAATTCAGTCTTAATTGAGCAATAACAAATGAGCATGTGCAGTAGACTTAGTAGACGTGTCCCACATTGCTTTATCAGATTTTGTATATGTCATGTAATAGAATAATAGACAATATTTATTGCTGATAATTTTATTCCTTTACAATAATGACCCAATAATCGTATCCGATATTTTCGAATCCCAATTTCAAGAGTAACTTTTGCGAGTTATTATTATTTTCAACAGTGTATGCTATCACATCGCGTCCTTTCTTCATAATATCGTTGCAAGCGTATTTAGTTATCAACTCACCGTAACCTTTCCTTCTGTAGGGTTCTAAACAAAACAGATGAGATAGTGCACCTGCTTCGTTGACAGTAACCCAAGCCATTGGTTCTTTATTTTCTAACGAGTATAAAACATACGTATAATCATTATTCATTAGTATTTCAAAGAAATCTTTCGAATGATCGCTCGAATACGTCCATGTTTTGTTAAGTATATCAATATGTTCAGCTTTAAGAGGCGCTATGTAAGTATTTTCTGGTAAACTGGAATTAAAATTATTATTAGTTTTAACTTTGACAAGAATGGATAAAGTTAAGAATGTGTACATCAGAGGAAGTTTGAGAGTAGCGCCAGTGGTGGAGAAATTGAGAAGCAAAAGGTTAGCGTGGTATGGACATGTTATGCGACGAAATGATGGGGACATAAACCAGAAAGTGTTGAGATTGAGTGTGGATGGCTACAAAGGAAGAGGAAGACCGAAGAAAGTATGGATGGATTGTGTGAAAGAAGATATGCTTAAAAAAGGAGTGAATTCAGATATGACGGCTGATAGAGATGTATGGAAGAGCAGCACATACTGTGCCGACCCTCCATAAGGGATAAGGGCAAGTGGATGATTAGTTTTAACTTTAGTGTGATGAACTAAATAAAAACGGCTATTATCAGACAGACTGTAAATTAGTCGATACCGAAACGGACAGTGAGTGTTGCCATTTTCATTTAGTTTACGAAAATAATTATAATACAAAGTATGTTATTACCTTATATCAAATGGGATGCGCGTTTTATTCAAAAGAAATGTAATAGCTTTATTATGTTCGTAGTATACTTTGACGTTTAGTTTTTTTGATATCTTTACAAGACTTGCTGTTACTTCTGGACTTGCAAACGGAGACATAATAGTTTTGCTCCAATCTATAAGATTTGTTGATAATAACGCTTCTTCTATTTTTATAACATCTTTCAAAGGTCTTATTATAACTTGAAGGTCATTGCCCTGTATACAAAATAGTAAAACAAACTGATTTAAATCGATCTCGAACTATTTTTGCTTATCCGCGATATGTTTAATGCATTTATTTGAAAATCGATTGTAAGATTGCAATCGAAATATAATTAAATATGGTCTACTGTTTAGAAAAGGATCAAATAATTTTTATAATTCATTTCACACAGTTTTCACATAGATCTTAAGCAACGAATATACATCAACAGTTAATAATCTACCTGTAGGGTTGTCGCGACCATTCCATTATTAAAATCTCCAAAAGGGCAGTACACTTTGAAGTTAAAATCTTGACTTAATTTCGGTGAGTTTATATTCGTGTCTAAAAGACAATAAGCGGCCGCTCCATTCGGCCAGTCAATGCTAAACAAGTCTCGGAGCCGAGGCCATTCAGCGACCGGTATTTCGACGAGAGAGTCCATTATTATACTGTGATTGTGATGAAAATTTAAAAGACTGGAAATAAAAAAAGATAGCAGAAAGATCTATCTGTTCTTGTGACGTTTTAACGAACAGCGACAATTTAATATACTATTTTTGGTTTAGTATATTTATGTAATTATTTTAGTAAGTAAAATGTTTATTAACGATAAAATTTAAAATGTATCTTATTGTTAATTCCTAAAATCACTACAATATTAAAAGTAAATAAAAAAGTATAAAATACTTACAGATGAGTCTAAGTCGGGAATCAGTAAGACATGAATAACTAAAAAACTTAGAGATGCAGTTGTATGTTATTATATGATACGTAAAATTAAAAACTTTAAATAAACAATGTTTTCAGCACAATACGAAACACCCAATTCTGTTGCGTTAGAATGATATCTGATAACTGCAGTTTGATATAAAGACGTTATTAGCGTCGCGATTAATTTCAACCTGTTTGACAGATGACGTCATCTTTATGTTGCCAGCTTCATTTTGACATTCACTTTTAATAACAAAATGAAAAACAATAATAATTAATGTAAATTGGCTATTTTGTTTCTAAAGGCGTTGTGAGTAATTATTTAAGTGATTTTCTTGCAATTATGAAAGCTCGTACATTTGTAACAACAATGCAGAATACAGGCACTTTTCTGTTATTATATGTGTTAACTGCTTCTTTTTCTTGTTAAATAGTAACATAAACTTATCATAGAAAAAGAAAATAATTTAATATGGTTGCTTAAAATTAAATAAAAACACAAAATAACAGATTAAAATACTTACTGCGTGATGATAAAAATTACATATTTAACTTTTTTTTTTTTTTTATAAGAAAAGCGGGCAAACGAGCAACGGATCGCTTGATATTAAGTTATCCGAC